AATTGACAGGAAGTGGCGCCTGCGCCAGCGAGTAACGTGGTAACGTAATAGTTAACCATAGGATATTTGTGCGTCTCGCTAGTCGATCGATACGCACGGAGCACGCTGCACTATTGAGGGGGTGTTTCGCACTATTGAGGAATTGACCACGAACACGTACTTGCAAGAGTATTAATTTATTGTTATTTATTTAAGGTATATGAAAGAATGCGATCCTTTCATATATAATGGTATGTAAAACAAGTATGTAAAACTTTAATCATCATTGTTTCATTGTTTTTCGAAAATATTAATTAAAAAAGAAAATATTTTCTTGTGAAACAACAGTCTCAAAAAAAGCAAGTATTTTTATAATAGTTTCTTTTGTAAGAAAGTCAAGAATAAATTTTTGTTGGATAAGCGATACTGTCACGCGTGTCTTTGAATAATATTATTGTACTAATATATGTATTTACAGTTTATTTATTAAATATATTTCTTCTATTTTTCTATTATATCACATTTGTTCTATACAAAATATATTTACGATATACACATTTGCTAATTTAACGTGTGGCTCACGTAGCGGTAGTCATGTCATCGTTCTTAATATATTTAGATATACCACAGAAGTCTTAATTACCTGAAACAACAACGTCTTCCTTCCTATTTACGATACGATTAATCACATTTCGAGAATTGAAGCATTAAAACATTTTAATATGTAAGTATCACTCACAAGATTATAAACGAAGAGAAATGTGGAGGAAAATTTCATAATAATTTGTATAAAAAATGTATTAAATTTTTATTAGTAAAATGTTGTTATAAATATTATATACGTTTTACTTACATCACCAAAAGTTGCGATAGACAAGTGAAATAATTTTCCAGCGGTAATCTTGATAACATTACTCGATCGCGCTATTATCAAAACGAGACCAAGAGCAGTTTTATGCGGCAATTTATACCAATTAGTCATATATGCCTTTTCACCGACATTTTTGCACTAACAAATAAATTAATATATTCTAAAATGTTTTACAAATGGATTTTTTATATTGTTAAAAATTTGGAAAGAAATTAAGAAACGACACAAAGTACAAAACTCAAATGATTTATGATCAATGATCAATTTGTCAAACACAGGATAATTAAATCGCATTATTTTTACAATGTGAATAGGAGAGGCAATTAGAGCCAGGCGCGGTAATCAAAGCGCAAACAATTGCCTCTCCTATTCACATTGCATTAATCTAGACTAATCTAGAGAGCCTATATCTTGCTTTTTTGCAATATTTTTAAATATAATAAATCGAATGTTTTTAAGTATTAATCGTAATTTCGAGGAATTACCTGTTCCGTGAGAATCTCGCCGATGAAACAAAATATAAAAATATTGAAGGCCATAGATATGTATACAATAATAAACGATGTTATTCTCGCTGCATCAAAATCACTCCAATTCTGAAAAATCAGAAATTACACTTAACATTTCATAGACAAAGAAGTTGCAAAGTGTTACTGATAACACATATTCACCTGTTCAAGTCTTTAGCATACCGTAATAGAATAATATGCAAGTAAACACATATTCATCGTGCATCCCACCAATTCCACGAGACAGATATTTTGCATGATACTCTCCATGCGCGATATAAAACTGAAAGATTTACATGAAGACCCAACTATTTTTTTTTTTTTACATTCAATAAAACATTTGTTTGAATTTGTTGGATTATTATCTACCTATAAATATTTCTAAAAAATTAGAAATATTTTATTATCGACTAACGGAAATATTTAAATGGTCAAATTTGATCAAACGGGAATTAATTCGTCTCGTACGGGAAAATGCGCAAACACGATTTTCGACATTTAAATACCTGAGCACTCTTAAATGATGCTCCACAATCGTGGCCAGCTTCTGTTCGGCAAAATCATTTTTCTTGTCCTCATCTTCGACGAGATCGTTCAACCACGAGAACAGCATGCTTAGCTGGCCGTAAGCGTGCATCGCGAAAACCGCCGCTAGACTACAAGCGCCCACCGTAATCGAATTCACTATAAAACACGACAGCAATTCCACAGCCAGCATGATCTCGTTCGCGGGGCTGAATCTCGTGTCGATGAACTTGCTGTATATCGGACAGGTCATCGGATGCGTCGACGCAGTTTCATTGCCGATGATGATGGTCATGGATGTCATCGCTTTTGCCACGGTGAACAGAAACGTCCCGCTTTGCATGAACACCGCGCAGAAACCGGCTATGAAGCGACCGATCTTCGCGTATCGCAGCATCACGTCCTGATCGTCGATCTTACGCACCAGCCGCCAGTCCGTTTCCATGTGTTGCACACATTCGCGAATGTCGTCGCCGCGCGTAAGAAGCAGCCAATAGTTAATCGTGCCCATGATCCAGTGGCTCAGCGGACCCATCACGCTCAACTTCATCTGAACGTCTTTCTCTTCCAGCGACACGTACAACATGCACGGTATCATGACGACCGCTATGAGAGACGAGCAAGCAAGTACTTGCGCTTGCAGAGAGACCCTCTCCACCGTCGACATGCTCGCACGTGGCCAAGCTGCGATCGGCATCAGAAACCAACGTGTAAGTTGAAGACTGTAATCGTTATTGCTTCTGTATGTGAATTTGATGCTCGCTAGTACATGTTCGGAGTACGTCATGATTGCTACGCGGAGGCGCACGATGCACTGCCTATATACGGCGAACGGTGCACTCTGACTAGAGCTACGTTCAAACGAGCGCGTGCGCGAATCTTTAGAGCGGTTTAATGAACGGGCGGGGTGATACATGTGCTTCCGGACAGAGACGCGTGCACATCTGATCGATAATTGCTAGTCGTGGAAATATAACGTTGACCGTTTGGGTGGAAAGAATGCACGGAATTCATGGAAAGATAAAGGATAGTGCAGTATTGTTTCTATCAAAAATTTTTTTGCTATTGTGTGTAAATATGTGAATTACGGTACGTAAAATATTTGTATTGGATCTTATTTAATCAGGTATTTATGTCACATTCATGACTTATGTGTGTTTGATTTTTGTTTATATTAAACATTAATATTTTTAATTTTGAGAAAGATCTGTCTTGGATGACATGTAACTTTATTATACTTTCAAATAAGGTAATTATAAAAATTGTGCTCAATGAAATTTCTATTTATTAAGTATTTTTTACTATTATATATACTATCAGTTTTATACAAAATATATTCCTTACATTTTTTAATTTAATATAGTTCACGCAGAGGTTGACATTGTTCGCAACATATTCAAATATACCACGGAAGTTTTAATTACCTGAAAAAGCAACGTCTTCCTTCCTATTTACGATATAAATTAAAAGTCCGGAAAATTTCAAGAGATCAGTCAAAATAATATATAAACTTAAACAAAGAAGCAACCGGTACTTACAGGAATATTATTGCTAATAATTTTAATGAATAATTATAAAGTATATAGAATATATATCAAATTTTTATTAATGCAGTTATCGTTATAAATGTAACACATTACTTACATCACCGAAAGTTGCGATAGATAACTGAAATAATTTTCCAGCAGTCATCTTGATAACGTTACTCGATCGTGCTATCACCAAAATAAGTCCAAGAGCAGTTTTGTGTGGCAATTCATACCAATTTATCATATACGCTTTTTCGCCGACACTCTTGCACTAATAAATTTAAACTTAATTTTTTATTCATGTCCAGAAATGTGAAAATATTAAAGATCAGATCGAATATTTAAAGAAAGATTACAAAATGCGATTAAAAATACGAACTTTCTCGAATATACATATATTTTGGATATTAATTATCTATATCAATTACAGCTATTACCTGTTCTGTGAGAATCTCACCGATGTAACAAAATATAAAAATATTGAAAGCCATAGACAGGTATATAATGACATATGACGTTGTTTTTGCCGCATCAAATGAGTCCAAATTCTGTAAAACGAAAGTTTCGATTAGATAATGAAAAATTGATCTTTTTTTTATAGGTATTCACTATATTGAAGAATACTGAAGTTTGAAATTCTATAAATAACAAAATTATAGAATGCAGTTATATCACATATTCACCTTTCACGTTTTTAGCGTACCGTAATAAAATAATATGCAAGTAAACACATATTCATCGTACATCCCAGCAATTCCACGAGACAGATATTTCGCATAATGGTTTCCATACGCGATATAAAACTGAAAAGCATATTTGCGACTGTAATATATTTTTTCTTGTATTTATAAAAAGTAGAACGCGAGAGAGCTTATGTGGAACCGTTAAATGTAAATGTACGTTATTCGTGTGAACGTGATGTAATCTTCGATACTGAAACGAAATACCTCAACACCCTTAAGTGATGCTCCACGATAACAGCCAGCCTTTGCTCAACGTATTTGTTCTCCCTATCTTCGTCTACGACGAGTTCGTTTAACCACGAAAACAGCATGTTTAGCTGACCATACGCGTGCATCGCGAAGACAGCGTCGAGGCTGCAAGCGCCCACCGTAACAGAGTTCACTATAAAACACGATAGCCACTCCACACCCACCATAATTTCGTTCACGGGGCTGAATCTCGTGTCGATGAATTTGGTGTAAATTGGACAAGTCATCGGATGCATCGAGACGGTTTCGTTGCCGACGATGACGATAGTGGTTGACAGCGATTTCGCGACAGCGAACAATAATGTGCCACTCTGCATGAACAACGCGCAGAATCCGGCGACAAAGCGGCCGATCTTGGCTTGTCGCATCATTATTTGACGATCCTCGATCTTTCGAACGAGCCGCCAGTCCGTCTCCATGTGCAGCACGCACTCGCGGATGTCGTCGCCGCGCGCGAGGAGCAAACAGTAATTGATCATGCCCATGATCCAGTGGCTCAGCGGACCCATCACGCTTACTTTGATCTCAAAATCTTTCTCTTCCAGCGACACGTATAACACACACGGCACCATGACGATCGCTATTAAGGACGCGCACGTTAAAATGTGCATATGCGAGGGGAGCTTTTCTACCCTCGTGGCCGTGCTCATTCGCGGCCAAGCACCAATCGGTAAGAGAAACCAACGAGTCAGTTGAAGACTATAATTGTTATCGCTTCTATAGGGAAGCTCGATGCCCCTTGTCACATAGTAAGAATACGTCATGATTGTCGCGGAGACGTACGATGCACTGACTACGGCGAACGGTGCACTGACTAGAGCTACGTTCAAATGAGCGCGTGCGCAAATCTTTAGAGCGGTTTAATGAACGGGCAGGGTGATGTATGTGCTTCCGGACAGAGACGCATGCACATCTGATCGATAATTGCTAGTCGTGGAAATGTAGCGTTGACCGTTTGGGAGAGAATGTACGGAAACCGTCATGAAAAGATAAAGGATGGTGCAGTATTGTTTTAATAAAAAAAATTTTTTACTATTGTGTGTAAATATGTGAATTACGGTACGTTTGGAGAAATGCATTGAATCTCTCATTTAATTAAGTATTATTTATGTCACACTCATGATTAGATATATTTGATTTTTGTTGATATTAAATATTAATTTTTACTTTTAAGAAAACTCTTGGATGACATGTAACTTTACTGTACTTTCAAATAACGTAATTATATAAATTGTATTGTGTGTGCTCGACGTAACTTCTATTTATTAAGCATTTTTACTATACTATTTTACATATATATACTATCTACATTTATACTACACATATTTATACCTATCCATATACTAGTACTTTATATATACTATCAGTTTTATATTTAATATATATTTCTTCAAAATATATTTCTTACTTTTTCTAATTTAATATAGTTCACGCAGAGGTTGACATAGTTCGTAACATATTCAAATATACCACGGAAGTCTTAATTACCTGAAACAGCAATGTCTTCCTTCCTATTTACGATATAAATTAAAAGTCCGGAAAATTAATAAAAATAAGTTTAAAATAATATATAAATTTAAACGGAAAAATGCAACCAGTATACGAATATTTTTAATAATGCAGTTAATGAATATTTATAAAATATATAGAATATATATCAAATTTTTATTAATGCAGGTGTTATAAATGTAACATATTATATTACTTACATCACCGAAAGTTGCGATAGACAAATGAAATAATTTTCCAGCAGTCATCTTGATAACGTTACTCGATCGTGCTATCACCAAAATAAGTCCAAGGGCAGTTTCGTGCGGTAATTCGTACCAATCGATCATATACGCTTTTTCGCCAACATTCTTGCACTAAGAAATTTGAACTTAATCTTTTTATTGATGTCCAGAAATATAAAAAATATTTAAAGAAATATTACAAGATGCGGAAGTTATAAATACGAGAAATAAATATCCACTTTCTCGAATATATATTATATATATCTTAAATATTAATTATCTTTAACTCGGTTTCCAGCTATTACCTGTTCTGTGAGAATCTCACCGATGTAACAAAATATCAAAATGTTGAAAGCCACAGACAGGTATATAAGGACATATGACATTGCCTTCGCTGCATCAAACGAGTCCAAATTCTGTAAAACGAAAGTTTAAGTTTAAGTTTCGATTAGATAACGAAGAATTGATCTTTGTTGGTATTTACTTTACTATATTGAAGAATACTGAAGTTTGATATTCTATAAATAAAAGTATAGAATGCAATTATATCACATATTCACCTTTCACGTTTTTAGCGTACCGTAATAAAATAATATGCAAGTAAACACATATTCATCGTGCTTCCCAGCAATTCCACGAGACAGATATTTCGCATAATGGTTTCCATACGCGATATAAAACTGAAACGCATATACGCGAATATAATATGTGTGATATATTTTTTCTTGTATTTATAGAAAAACGAGCTTATGTGGAATTGTTTTAAATATAAATATACGTTACTCTCATGTGAACATTATTTTAATATGATGAAAATGCAATTTTTGATACTAAAACGAGATACCTGAGCACTCTTAAATGATGCTCCACGATAACGGCCAGCCTTTGCTTAGCGCATTTGTTTCCCTTATCTTCGTCTACGAGTTTGTTTAACCACGAAAATAGCACGTTCAGCTGACCACACGCGTGCATCGCAAAGACAGCGTCGAGGCTGCAAGCGCCCACGTTAACAGAGTTCACTGTAAAAGTTGACAGTAATTCCACAACCACCATAATCTCGTTCGCTGGGCTGAATCTCGTGTCGATGAATTTGGTGTAAATTGGACAGGTCATCGGATGAAATGAGACGGTTTCGTTGCCGACAATGACGATAGTGGTTGACAGCGATTTCGCGATAGCGAAGAGAAATGTGCCGCTCTGCATGAACACCGCGCAGAATCCGGCGATGAAGCGACCGATCTTGGCTTGTCGCAACATTATTTGACGATCCTCGATCTTTCGAACGACCCGCCAGTCCGTCTCCATGTGCAGCATGCACTCGCGGATGTCGTCGACGCGCGCGAGGAGCAAACAGTAATTGATCATGCCCATGATCCAGTGGCTCAGCGGACCTATTAGGCTTATTTTGATCTTGGCATCTTTCTCCTCTAGCGACACGTATAACACAAACGGCACCATGACGATCGCTATTAAGAATGCGCATGCGAAAATGTGCATGTGCGAGGGGATTCTCTCCACCCTCGTCGCCGTGTTCATTTGCGGCCAAACCCCAATCGGTAACAGAAACCAACGAATTAGTTGAAGACTGTAATTATAATCGTTTTTGTAGGGAAGCTCGATGCCCCTTGTCACATGGTGAGAATACGTCATGATCGCTTCGCGGTGGCGCACAATGTACTGACCTCGGCGAACACCTGCTGGAGCTGTGTTCGAACGAGCGCCTGCGCGAATCGTTGGTGAACGGACAGGGCGACAGGGTGATGTACTTTGTTAGAGAGACGCGTGCACGTCTGATCGATAATTGATTCTCGTCGAAGTGTCGCGTTGATTCTTTCTTGTGCAAAATGCGTTTTGAAAGTGTTAATATGCTTGCAATGGCGACATTAAAATATTAAATTTATACTATAACTATACTATACTATAACTATACTATAACTATAAAATGCTTGTTGCATTGTTTGTTCCCGGCGTCGCGATGTGTGTGTCGAAAGGAAAGCTATAAATAAAATAAAAAGACAAAACAACAATTTTAATATTCTGTGAACTTTAAGATACATATAGCGAGTGAGTATTTATACGTTCTTTATATGTACTTTAATTCTTTGTACACTATGATAATTTCGACAATTTTTGTAAGAATTATATTATTATATCTAAAGGCTCAGTATATGAAATATTAAACTCAATTAGGCAATAAGAGCCAAGCGTAGATTATTTTCGCTAAAATTTTAATACAATATATGTCAATCACTATTAGAATGTCAGTTACAATATATACGTTTCAACTCTTTTTGGGGTCATCCTCAGCGCGTTGCCTACACATTATATAAAGCTAAATCTAAATCTACATATCTTTTCCCGTAAACTATTGACGAATCGGTTAATCCTAACGGTCGTTTAGGCAAGTGCGCACTCCGAAGCCTGCCCAGGTGTCTTCGTGTGTAATTTCCTGGTTTGAGAGCCAAGAAATTTGCTTACATCTCGTCATGGTACAATTGTGAGACACAGATAGTGCAGTTATTAAATAGTTCGCAATTACGATTGTCCGTGTAAATGGTGGACTAACGATATCATTGTTCTTACAAAAGCAATGGAGCGGACCGTGTCCCGTTAAAATGTTAAAATGGTGGACTAACGATATCATTGTTCTTACAAAAGCAATGATATCGTTAGTCCACCACTTACACGGACAATCGTAATTGCGAACTATTTAATAACTGCACTATCTAGCTGTGTCTCACAATCGTACCATGACGAGATGCAAGCAAATTTCTTGGCTCTCAAACCAAGAAATTACACACGAAGACACCTGGGGAGGCTTCGGAGTGCGCACTTGCCTAAACGACCGTTAGGATTAACCAATTCGCCAATAGTTTACGGGAAAAGAAGGCACTATGTAGATTTAGATTTAGCTTTATATAATGTGTAGGCAACGCGCTGAAGATGACCCTAAAAAGGGTTGAAACGTACGTATTGTAATTCACATTCTGATAGTGATTGACATTGTATTAAAATTTTAGCGAAAATAATCTACGCTTGGCTTTTATTGCCTAATTGAGTTTAATAATTATATTATTATTAATAATTAAGGAAAGTGACATTACTAATAGCTTTAAAATAGTTTCCTCTTGCTTGGGTATTTAATTGACGCCTATTTTTTACGTAATATGTTACATTATAGTACGAAGTATATTCAGATATGCCGCAGATGTTTTAATCACCTAGAATAAAGAAACAATGGACGAAATAAAATAAATTCTATAAGATTAATTATTATGTTAATAATTCTATAAATTATAAATTTTTTTTTATATATAATTTTTTTTTGAAGCTTTATTAAGTTAAATTATTTTACGTGTATAAAATGTAAAAGATTTATAATATGCGCACTATAGCAAAAATACAATAAAGAATACAGGAAATAACGAAACTTCATTTTTTGATGAAAATGTTCGATGTTGCCGAAATGTATACTTACATCACCAAATGTCATTAAAGAGAGTTGAATCAATTTTCCAGCAGTAATTTTAATCACAACACCGGATCTCGATATTATCAGCACCATTCCAAGGGCAGTTTTATGAGGTAAAAGGTACCAATTAGTAAAGTAAGCCATTTCGCCAACCTTTTTACACTGCAGTCAATTTTATGAATATTACGAGAATATTTTTGTGGATTGAATAAATATTTTCAATATTTTCGTTACAACATAAATATAAATAACAATCGAAACAAGCATTTTTGTGGTTTGCTTGCATGCATTACCTGCTCCGTGATTATTTCACCGATGTAACAAAATATAAAGATATTAAAAGATAATGATATGAACACAAGACCGTATGTTGTTATAGTCTTCGTGTTTCTTGCATTCCATTCCTGAAATTGCAAAACCGAGTGCCACAAAAAGAAAAGAAAAATGTTAAAAAAAAAAGTGTCATGTCAAAAAGTGTGCATTTTTATTTCAAAGAAAAAAAAAGGATATATCCAGTCATATTTTTATCATACCTTGATAGTACAGAAGCCGAGCAGGCACAAATTTATCGTGCATCCAAATAATTCCACCAAGCATATTTGATTCATAATTTTTTCGAAGCGTGATATGAAACTGGAAATACCATAATTATTTTAATTTTCAATATATTTAGTACATATCGTAAATCTTGCAAATTCCTTATAAACTGAATTAGGCGAGATACCTTACTTTAGCACACGTAGATGATGCTCGACTATGTTCGCCAGTTTGCGCTCGGCGGTCTGCTTCTCTTTTCTGTCGTCGATCAGCTCGTTCAGCCACGTGTAGAGCACGGCGAATTGGCCGCACACGTGCATCGCGAAAACCGCGGCGAGACTGCACGCACCTACGGTGATGGAATTAGCTATGAAACCGGACAGGAATTGTATCATCAGCACGATCTCGTTCGCCGGATCGCGGCTGGTGTCCAATAGCTTGCTGTAGAACGGACAAGGGAGCCGTCGCGCCAAGATAGTCTCGTTGCCGATCACGAAGATCATCGGCGTTAAACTGTTCACCACACTGTACGAGAACACACCGCAGTGCATGAAAACGGCGCAAAATCCAGCCACGGAACGGCCGAATTTGGCGTATCTGAGCATCGATCCGCGATCCACGTTTCTGCTCACCGCGCACCAATCGCTCTCCATGTGCTCGATGCAACGACGTATGTCCTCGCTGCGCCACAGCAAAGAGGTATAATTCATTCCGCTCATAATCCAGTGGCTCACGGGACCCACCGAATTCATCTTAGTCAAGAGATCCTGCTCCTCGAAATAGAAGTACAGCATGCTAGGCACAACCGTGAAAGCTATGAGGGCGTAGCATGTTATCTGGATGATTCGCGACAGGAGTCTCTCGGTGATCGTGGTAGCGCGCGACTCCGGCCAGGCACCGATCGGTTTCAAAAACCAGCGATTCAGCTGAAGGCTATAATCGTGTTCGTTACGGCGATACAGAACTGACGTCGGCTTATCGGATTCGGGTGCGATCGTCATGATCGTTCTTTCGAAGCGCGCAAGTTACTGACTGTTACTGACCGCTCTCCCGTTATGCCGTTTTTCAGTGGAAGCGGAGAAAGTCAATGTGGCGATTGCGCAGATCTTCATTCGGAGTATTCTATACGTGGAAGAGGCGGGAGACAGTCTGCTAATCGATAATCGCTACTTGTTGCACCGCCAGTTGCAAGTAAAGACATGTAGATAACATGCGAATTGAGACGTGTGCAGTACAGTTGTTTCGCAAGTGATAAATCAAGAGTATAAAATCGTAAACTATTTAACTTGTATAATATTTATAATTTGTAAAATTAATTTATTCTGTTGCGCAGAGGGAAAATTATTTTTCTTAATGCGAACTAAAGTAAAGATTGATAAAAAAGATAATGAGAAGATTGATAAGTTGCAACGATAATGAGAAAAATGAGAAGATTGACAAGTCGCAACATTATACAAATCTACTATTTAAAATGCATATTATGCACAATTTTTACATGTACAATATACATATATAATAATTTTGTGGAAAATATTTATTATGACAGATATTATTTAAGACTCACGTTCTATATTGTATAATATTTACACAGTTAAAGTTCTAAGCATATTCAACTATGCCACAGAAGTTTTAATTATTTAAATTAATTAAAAAAACTTAATTTGCATATAACTTGTAATATATAAAAAACACGTTTTTTTTCGAATACTTATATCACCGAAAGTTGGGTGATTAATCTATGAAATATTTTGCAGTAATTTTGATAACTATGTTCGATCGTAAAATTATTAAAATCAGATTGAGCATAATTTTACTGGTATTAATTTGTCATATAAGCTACTTCATCTCTCAACTTTTTTACATTGTCGTGATTTAAGATTAAATTTCTTGAATCAAGATGTCGTTTACTATCAAACCGGTTAATTTCACAAGGCATACTTGACACATAATTATCTCCATGCGCCAAAGAAACCTGAAATTGATGCACTCAACAGTAATTGCATGCATTACATTCAATGTTTCTATCCAATTTATCTTATAGTGAAAATAATTATTATTCTAGAGAGCTTTTATAGACAAAATATTAAGCTTCTAAGAATACATTTAAAATTATTTTAATATAACATTAACATTATAATAACATTATTAATAATATAAGTAATATTATTATAATATTTAATGTAATATATTACAATAATATTAATAACAGTAAAATAACAGTTTACAAGAAAGTAATTTTAAATAAATTTAGTTAAATGATTATTTAGATTCGATTATTTTATTATTATCTTACTGATATTCAAAAGTACAAGTGTGCGCAATGATAAATTATACAGCCATCTTGCCTGAATAATCGTAAATGACGCTCCACGAGATTTATCAGTTTTCTCTGAACGACGTCGCGTTGTTTTTCCTCATCAAGTTCTTTCAGTCGCGACATCACTACACCAAGCAGACCAAATGAATGCATCGCGAATACTGCGGCTAGACCACACGCATCAACCTTGTGGTGTTATTTACCACGAGGGACGAGAGGCACTGAAGCGTGAATACGACCTCGTCCACCGGGGTAAACCTGGTGTCCACGAGCTTGTTGAAAGACGAACATGGTAATTAACCTGTGTTTCCCTCCCTACGTTATAAAAAAAGATACCACGCATAATGAGCGCATAAACGTCAGCTATAACGCCCATTCTTGCACTGGCCGTTTCTCAACATCATTTCTTGATCGCCCTCTCCCCTCGTCATTCGCCAATCGGCTTCCGTATGATCGATAGATTTAGGTATTTGCCCTTTTTGATACAACAGCGAATAATAATTTATATCACCCACGAGCCAGTGACTTCTATTCCAGTGGGTTCTACGACCTTCAGTTTTAAACGGACATTTTTCTTTTCGAAAAGAATGTACAGTAGAAGGTATTACAGTGAGACCTATCAAGGAACGTTAATCTCAGAATTTTTAATATAATTTTTTCAACTGCCGAGCTCGTGAATAATTCTGGCCAAACACCTATCAAGATCCAACGGATCTCAATTCAAGACTATAATCGTTATTTTGGTCCTTTCACGAGTCCACAATAGCTGTAAATACCTATTTTGGACTCGTGGGAAGAACGCATTGTGCTTAATCCGCGGCAGGCACGTCAAATACTAGTCTTTACTACTGACCGTATGTCTCGATGATAAGCAGTATATAGTTACGGCAGTGTCTGCGCGGACATATAGCTTATTTCCCGAGAGAAAATACATTGCTGTGTCGGCTGACTGTGCATAATTGATATTTATAGTACCGCAACTTGTTGCATATAGAAGCTCAGCGTAATGTGTGGTATACGAGCAATGAAGGTATAGAAAATGATTGAACAAGTGCCGTCAGTTATAAGTCACGTTACGTAAACACGATGAATTTTTCATTCGTGAAATATAGTTCTTTACGTTACAAGATATATGTCTTTCGTTCTGCATACGGGAAGATCGTATGCTTTACTTGACGTTTTGCTCTAAATTGTTTCATTAAGAACTCTATTCTATTTTATTTGGCATGCTCTTGAGAGCATATCAAATAAAATAGAAGTGAAACAAATAATTGTAAGCACGCTTTAAGTTGAGTAGGTATTAATAGAAAAAATACGAAACAAAGACGGAGCTTGTTGAGTGTATATTGTTTTTTTAAATAATTATGAATATGTAAAAGTAATAGAAGATTTATATATGCGATAGACTGCGCATATTTAGACAAAGAGAATTTACACATACGGCAAATTAAACGTATTTAGACATAGAAGATGTGATAGATTTTTAGATAAGTGTTAATTTAATACATCCCATCTTTTTCTCTTTATTTCCATGCAAAGTTGGATGACTAATTGACATGTATCTTCTAAAGTTCAATCTTATTATTTATTGTTCGAATATTATTATTTATTGCAAATACAATTCATCAATATAAATAATCTATACACTTTTTTAAGAAGAAAATTTTTAAGAAGTTAGTTTACGTAACATATTCAAGTAGGCAACCGACGTCTTAATCACCTGTTTGTTTAATGAACGATTTATAAATTAATTTTATGAATTATTATTACATTATATAGGATTTACAATTAATTCATATTAGTACTTACATCACCGAAACTGCTTATTGATAAATCGATGATATTTCCAGCAGTAAGTTTGACCGATGAATTGGACATCGCGATCATTAATATAACAGCGAGAGCTTTCCTTCCCGCTAGACGATGCCAATCGATCATGTACGATATTTCACTAATCCTCTTGCACTGTATATATTTACAAGATTAATTTATTAAATATATTACACATTACCTTACATTTGTAGCAATAAAAATTATTTCGTAAAATCGCGTATATTTTTTAATATTTGATAGTGAGAAATTATACCTGCTCGGCGACAAGTTCACCTATATAACAAAATAGGAAGATATTGAAGGTGAAAGATATAAGCAGAATAACGTATGTTACGTAAGTTGCGAAATCGCCGATCTCCCATTCCTGCAATTTGAAAATTCTTATTTTCGGAAACACATATTCTGCATAGCATCGATCGTATTCTGATATTACTGGCGAAATAGCGTGCTCTGCCGCACGTACATTTTGCACGATATGCCTACCATGATAACGTAATATCCAAGAAAACACAAGTTTAGCGTACATCCTACAATTTCCACGAGAGATATTTCGTGCAATACTTTTTCCGTTAACGATATAAAACTGCAAAACATTACACGTATGGTTGGACATATAGGAATCAGTCAGTCATAAAATTGCAGATTAGAAAACAATATATAATTTTCACAATTCTCTTTTGTGCAAATTATTTTGCCAATAAAACTCTTTTCTTGCATAAAAATGAAGAATGTTGAGTATATAACACAGGTATGGTCAACTTCGAGCTCCGCAGTCACGACACCTTTTCCACGACACATCCAACGGAGAAGACCCTTTCCCTCGCTCTTGGATGGAGCGGATGGAAAGGGAGAAGTGTCGTAGCAGCTCCGAAGCTCGAAGTTGACCATACCTGATACAACACATTTAAAGAAGATAATTATTATTTCCTGGATAGCAAACTTACCGCAAAATTCGCACATGTTCTCGCACAATTATCGCCAGCCTCTCGTCCACGTTGTTACAAAAATCCTCTCGCCCGTCCACCAGATGCACGATCCACTGTACGAGAACCTCCAAACGGCCGCAAGCGTGTATCGCTAAAACGACAGTCAAACAACAGGCGGCGGCTGTGACCGCTTGCGTAACGAAACCCGCTACGCACTGTATCCAAAAGAAAATCTCACTAATCGGACTGTGACGCGTGTCGACGATCGCCCTAGCGACCGGATACACCAGTGGCTGATACGTCATGTTACTGTCCTCCTCCGTAATCTTGCCCGCGCTGATCGGCATGGCGATGTGATAGAACGCGGCACTGCCGTACGTGAAGATCGTGCAGATCATCACGAGACGACGGGCGAACTCCGCGTTCCTGACCATGATCGCGCGATCACCGCGATGCCGCGTGTTCATCCAGTCGCTTTTGACGTGCTCGACGCACACGCGGATATCTTTTCCGTGAAAGATCATCGAGATGTACTTCAGGAATACCATCAGGCAGAAGCTCAGCGGCCCGGTGAACTTCAAGGTGCTGTACGTGTCCTCGACTTCGAGCGCGACGAATAAGGCGCACGGGACGAAGAGGAAGATGACCAGACCGATGCAAATTACGTTCATCAGCAAGTGCGCGTATCTGTTTAACGGAGAGGTGGATTCGAGTGATCTCGGCCAGGCGCCGATTGACTTCAGTATCCAACGGGTCTGCTGAATGCTCAGCCGCACGTATTTCTCATGATCGTACGCGATCGCGACCGGACTTGACTTTTGAATAGACGGTGGTGATCCGCGCATCGTGAAAGCACGGAAGCTCAGGTAGTACTGAAAGGATTGAAGGACGGATAGCGTCGAGCGCTTGCGCGCTTGACTTTCAAGGGAAGAGCGATCAAACGATCAGTCATGTCATGAAGTTGAAGGGTGCATTTTATATTGACTTTTACGTGAGTTCCAAGAGGGGATTCACCTCTTCCTCTTCCTTGTATGATATAGTGGTCACTGTTCCGTGAATTATGTGCGTAAAACTTGTATTCTCTTCCCCATAGATATCTTCCGCGAAGCAGTCGGGATGTCATTGATATAAGAATCGCGATGTGATTCTACTTTTCAAGAATTCTTCCTTAGAGTATTATAAAATGTTGCAATGTTTTATATATTGATTATTTATATCTGTGTACTAAACAGATTATAACATCGTTGCGCTTGCTTTTTTATTTTACTTGAAAGTATATAATTTTATAACTCTTACAATGTGTAAATAAATTAATCGTGTTAAATAAATTTGGAAATAATTTTCTAATGTGTAATAAAAATATGATCATGCTCTAAAAATTCATTAGAGAATTCAATTGTAAATAGTATAAGTAGAAGAAACTTAGAGAGAGATCAGATATTAAAGAAGTATTATATTTTAAAATAAACGCCAAACTTAATGCACATATTTTTTATTTATTAAATTTGCATTTATTTCTTATTTTTCTTACTCTTTATTTTGACGCGACACTGGATGACTAATTGATTTTATGAAATTGCTAGTCCTTTTTTACAATATATTACTCTCTATATAAATGTAATAAAGTTAAATGTAATAAAGTTATAACGTAATAAAGTAACGTAAGTTTAATGTAATAAAGTTATAACGTTATAAAGTTATTTGTACATTTCGAATTTCTATTAAGTAGTTAATGTACGTAACATATTCAAGTAGGCAACCGATGTATTAACCACCTGTTTAGATAAACGGCACATAATCGTCATACGATTCGTAAACAAATTTGATAAACAACGTTTTACTTACATCGTCAAAAATACTAAGGGACAGTTCGATAAAATTCGCGACGGTAAGCTTGACGAATGAATTTGACATGGTGTTGATCAGTATGAGAGCGAGACCCTTTTTCCTCGTAGACGATGCCAATCGATCATGTACGATACCTCACCGATTTTTTTGCACTAGCAAGGGGATATTTTTTTCATCAAACATATTTATTATATGAAATATCAAATATACTGCATTTTAAAAATTAATTATATATATATATATATATAATTAATTTTTAAAATGCAGTATATTTGATATTTCATATAATAAATATGTTTGATGAAAAAAATATCCCCTTGCTAGTGCAAAAAAATCGGTGAGGTATCGTACATGATCGATTGGCATCGTCTATTGTATATATATATATACAATAAGATTATTGTAGGTACATTAAAATGACGTATTATAAGACTCATACATTAAAAAAAATGCATTTGTAGAGATTTAACGTCAGAAGTGCGAAAATACTTGAAGAAGTGAAAACAATACCGAAACTTGGTGAGTTTAGCTATAGAATGCCACAATACCGCATATCTCTATCTAAAATAGTATGTCAGTTATAACGTTTTGTAATCAGGGAAAAACTTTATGATCATCCTGTATTATTACTTATATATTTGCACGTTTATATGTGAATTAGATTTATATTATATTTATGTATAAAACAGTTCATACGAGAAATAGTTTATATTTTATAATATCTATTATAGAGAAAATACAAATACTCGTATTTCGTCATATACAATTTACATAGTCAAAGTTCGAAGCATGTTCAAGTATGCGACAGATGTTTTAATTACCTAAAAATGTTTAATATTATCATTAATTTTAATATGTTGTTATTATTTAAAATAAATGTATACATAATAATTATACATTTATACTTTTTGCGTATACTTCAGTAATAGAAAATACTACTAAATTTATTTTATTATAATTTTAGAAGTTATATTTATAATTTTCATAATACTCACAACACCGAAAGTCTGGATAGACATATGAAATATCTTTCCTGCCGTGATTTTGATAACAACTCTTGATCGTAAGATTATTAAAATGAGATCGAGAACAATTTTATGCGGCAATTCATACCAATCAGTCATATAAGCTACTTCACCAACTTTTTTACACTATCACGAAATTAAATCCGTTAATCCAAGCACAAATAATATTTTAATCATTACAGACAAACTAATAAAAAAAGCTTTTAGAGATAAAAGATTACTTTACCTGATCCGTTACGAGTTCGCCAATGAAGCAAAATATGAAGATATTAAACATCATCGATGTCAGTACCATGACATATGTTATTATAGTGTTTATACTTTCTTCATGCCATTCCTGAAAAGACACATAAAGTGATAGAGCGTTTAAAATTAAAATAGGAAATAACAATAGGCGATCTGTTATATATTCACCTTTCTCAAATATTTAGCATACCGTAATGGTGTAATATCCTAGCATGCATAAGTTGAACGTACACCCGACTAATTCCACAAAACATATCTGGCGCATAATTGCCTCCAATTGTGAAAGAAACCTGTAATCGACACACCCACAGCATAGCCGCGACGTTAAAGCTACTCAACATTTTTATCCGAATATCCTACAGCCGCGATAGTTGCAATTCTGCAAATATGTCATATTTAAGAAAAAGCGTTATAAAATAATATATTCAACGTGTTATAGTTTCCTGGCACTTTTTAAAAGCAAGCAAAAATTACGTTTTACGAGAAAAGTTTTACACGAGATCGTCTAAAGGCCAGTAAAAATTTATAAAATACAACTGTGTATCATTTCTGGATAATTAAAGTCGATCTGCGCGTAATCTTTTAAGATTCTTACCTCAACGCTCGCAGATGATGCTCCACGATGTTCGCCAGTCTCAACTGGAGGAGATCTTGCTTTTCCGTGACGAGTTCTTCGAGACGTAGCATCACCACGTTGAGCTGGCCGGAAGCGTGCATCGCGAAAACGGCGGCGAGACCGCACGCGCCGATCGTGATGTTGTTCACCACGATAGTCGAGAGACATTGCAACGCGAGCACGACCTCGTACACCGGGCTCAGTCTGGTGTCCACGAATTTGTTGAAAGACGGACACGGTAGGCGACCCGTCTCGATCGTTTCGTTGCCGATCACCACGGCTATCCGCGACATCCCCCTCGCTATATTGTAACAAATAACACCACCCTGCATGATGAGCGCGCAAACACCCGCTATAGCGCGTCCCACTCTCGCGTTTCTCAGCATCAATTTCCGATCGTGTCCTCTCTTCGCCATCCGCCAATCGGTCTCCATATGTTCTATAGACGTGCGTATCCGATCGTTTTGGTGCAGGAGAGAACAGTAATTGATTCCGCCCATGAGAAGATGGCTCGTAGGCCCTATAGCCTTGAGTTTCAGGCGGAAATCCTTCTCTTCAAATAATATATATAATATAGAAGGTACCACGGTGAAAGCTATTAAAGAGTGACACGTTAATCGTAGGATATTCATCAGGATATTCCTGGTCATCGAATTCGTCTTTAATTCCGGCCAGGCGCCTATCGATCTCAGAAACCAACGATTGAACTGCAAACTATAATCATTATCTCGCCTGTAAACGTCCACGGTGGTTTCTCTAGAAGCTCGCTTCATAGTCGATTCACGGAAGGCGCGCTAGGTACTGATCACTACTACTGGCTGCGTTTCTCAACGAAGCAGTGGTTGTGCCAGCGCCTGCGCGGACACGCGAGGAGAGAGAACAAATTATTGCACCGTCCGGCTGAGACAGAACGTAATCGATATCTATAGTTACTTGTTGCATGAAATCGCAGTGGTTGTTATACGAGAACATCTAAAACACTATTTGTGAGATAGCTTGGTCGACGAATGCAATCAAGTTTGTAGCTATTATTCCCTTTTGTTTAACGAATAGTATTCTTAATGTTATTTGTATTATATGAAAGGGCGACGTTCTTTGTTCTTGACACTTTAGCCATCAGAAATTATATCTTGTCCATTACATATATCGTATATGTAATCTATCGTACATGTAATATCGTTATTAATAAGATAAAACATGAAATGAGATATATTAGTATGTGTATAATGACATTATTAAGGAATAAAAATGTGCTTTTTTATTAATGCGACAAGAATCAACTATATCACTACATCAGTTAGTAATAATTTACATTTTATTTGTTACCAAAAATTTTTATGCCATGTCTATCTAGTTTAGTGTTATGTCGCTACCGTTCTGACACTGACTATATATTTAAATAGCAAACGCTATTTTCATCACCTGAAATGGTTATAATTGATAGATCTGAACAATCTTTGCGTATTTTTTACTGTAATAACATTTCTAGGTCTCCGTAAGCTCCCTATGTATTAGAATGATACAAGAATTGTTAATAATAAATATTACAACGTAATAACTATTAAATAGTTAAAAATAAAAGTAGCAAGATTTGAAGAAAATTTATGGAAGTCTGCAGAGGTAAGCTTGCATTGAAATTTTATTATCTACAGAAAAATGTTAATATAAAAGTTATTGGATAAACTTACATCTACAAAAGTCGCAATAAATAGTTGAATTTTTTCGGTGGTTATCTTAAATAACGGTAAATAATCGGTTTTCGATTTCGAGATTATTAGAATCAAATCACACAGAAAATACATACGGAAAATATTATTAGGCTACCAAGATCCGAGTTTAGATTGTAAATGGTAAGTTTATTCTATATTAATTGTATATCATCAGTTCTTTTCACGTAATACAGATAAATTAAACTCCCTTTTTTATCAAATATGATAATAAATACTATTTTTCTTTCTTAAAACCATTTCTCTGTTGATACATATCAAATAATTAATTGATTTGCAATCAGTGGTTGCATTAATAATTTTTACCCTTTGAACAAGTTTTATATATTTAATGTACGCAGCATGTTAAAATAGGCGACTGATGTCTTAATCACCTACAAGTTGGATGAGCAACACGTAAGTCATTTGCTGCTCGCAAATAGATACGATAAACATTTGACATTGCGTTACTCACGTCGCTGAAGGTACTGAAGGACAATTCGAAGAGATTTCCAGCGGTAAATTTGATCGATGCATTGGACATAGCAATCATCAACACGACATCGAGAGCTTTTCTTTCTGATAAACGATACCAATCGATCATGTACGATACCTCGCCGATCTTCTTCCACTGTTTGCAGAATTGTTATTAATAAATTTTACTTATTTTTTAATACAAAACATAACTATGCTTACGTCGCTAAGAATTGCTTTTTAAAATAAATTCTAAATTTCTTAAATTTTATTATTATAATAGAAAAATAACACTCCTGCTATTATAAAAGTATACTATGAAGAGAAATGTGCTTGCAAGATTTGCCATTAAAATCTAACAAAAAAATGTTACGATTATTAGGACTTTTTACCTTTTCGGCAACAAGTTCGCCGATGTAACAAAATATAAAAATATTGAACGTAAAAGATAGAAGCAGGACAATATACGTTATATAACTTGTAGTCTTTTTGCTCTCCCATTCCTGCAACGTAAAGGTTCTCTTCTATATTCGAGAACATATTGTGCGCGTCGTTGTAAACCGCACATATCGGTTTAGAATATTGTTCCGAAACAGCGATGCATTTTACGCGGTATGTACTCTTCGTACACTTTACATGCATACCATGATAACATAATATCCAAGAAGACACATGCTTACTGTACACTGCACAACTTCCACGACAGATATTTCGCGCAGTATCTTGTTCGTTAGTGCTATAAAACTGAAAGATAACGGACGTATTATCGCGCAAAAATACTTTTAACAGAAAAGTAGGATTTCATAAAATGTTCCTAAACAATTTAAAATTAAATTGAAACCCTACACAAAGGTATACATATATGTTGAACGCGCGATGAGGCATCGACGATGCTCGTCGGAAAGTGACTCACCGTAAAACTCGAACGTGCTGTTCCACGATCATCGCCAATCTCTCATCCATGGTATCGCACAAATCTTTCCGTTCGTTTAGCAAATGCTCGATCCACCGTATTAGGATTTCCATACGGCCGTAGGCGTGCATCGCGAACACGGCGGCCAAGCTACATCCAGTGGCGGTGATGGAGTGCGCGAGGAAACCCGACAAGCATTGCATCCAGAAGAAAATCTCACTGACAGGACTGTATCGTACGTCGACGATTGCTCTGGCGACCGGATACACTAATGGCCGATACGTCAGGTTTCCGTCACTCTCCGTAATCTTGCCGACACTGAACGGCAGAGCGAGATAGAAGAAGACGGCACCGCCGTACATGAAGAACGCGCAGATTGTTACGAGGCGTCGGCCGAATTTCGCGCTCCTAATCATGATGATCCGATCACCATAATGTCGAGTATTTATCCAGTCGCTCTCGATATGCTTGATACCCCTGCGAATGTCTTTCTCGTGGAAGATCAACGAGGAATACTTCACGACGGCCAGTACGCAGAAACTCAGCGCTCCAGAAAGTTTCAAGATAATGTATGAGTCATTCATTTCGAGTACTATGCAGACGACGGCAGGTATGACGAGGAAGCTGATTAAACTGGTGCAAATCACGTTCAACAGCCTGTACGCGTATCTCTCTGTCCATGAAATTGTGGATTTCGGCCACGCACCGATTAGCTCCAGCATCCAACGATTCAGCTGAAGGCTCAGCTGCAGATCTTTCTTGTGATCGTAAACGGTCGCGACTGGATTTGCCTTCTCTGTGATGACAGTTTCATGCATTGTTGAGTCGGTGAAAGCTCGATGATTACTGATAGGGTTGTGCGAGAGCTCGAGTGCGGAAAGTCAAATGCGGCTGCGCTATTCCGCGCGAACTTCCCTTCTAGGAAAGGGGCGATCAAGTGATCGGGAGAAAATAACGAAGGGTAAACTTTGTAGTCGCGTTTTTTCTAACTTCCGTGAAAGGGTTCAAGGTTTCCTCGTGTGGTGCACCGCACATTTTCCGTTCGTGAATTATTCTGTTCATGAACGGAAGAGATCTATGTTCTTCGTAGATATATTTTCTACGACTTAGATAGTAAATGTTTCTTCCTTGCGCAAAGTAGTACACGATGTTATACGTGGATGAATACGATTTCGCATATATGTACATGTATATTATGTAATACTTAAAAGTGACTCGCATGGAAACATATATTATTACTGTACGTATTTAATTGAAGAAATGCTTTATTCCATCTTAAGATATGTCGTCCAAACTAAAGAAATTATTTTATAATGAAGCAAAATTGTTCTTATATCATAAAAATAAAAATTTTGTAATATATTTTATGAAATAATATTGGGAAATATTTTCGCTTTGTATCGAAATATGAGTCCTTTTATATTGACAGGTGGTCAAGCAGTACGAGAAGCTCGAGTATGACCAGACAAATGTATAATGACGAGGGTCTCTCTTTTTGTAAAAACAGAATATGTGCCGCGTTTGCGTGTCAACAAAGAAGAAAACCGTCGTGCGACGTAAAGTACAATGCGATTTTCTAAAGTTTACATTTACGAGTTAGAAATGATATTGCGCGCGTCAAGTGATTTGTGCTGCATATAGTTACACTGTAAAAAATTTAATGTCCCAGAAAGTCCACTCTAAATTTTGTGTTAAAATAACTCATGCATTGTGTTATTTTTTACATTTAGAAATGTTATATCGACTAAAATAACATTTCTAAATGTAAGAAATAACACAATGCATGAGTTATTTTAACACAAAATTTAGAGTGGACTTTCTGGGACATTAAATTTTTTACTGTGTACGTAAGCCGAATGTCATGTACGGAAAATGTTACACATATATACAAATATACACATGCATTATCTTGACTGTTAAAGAATCTGTTATAACTTCGCGAATGCGCTGTTCTGCGCAACTTTCCTGCTAGGAAAAGGGCAATCAAGCGATCGGCAGGATACGAAGGGTAAACTTTATAGTCGCGTTTTTTAACTTCCATGAAAGGGTTCAAGGTTTCCTCGTGTGGTACTGCACGTGTCTGTTCATGAATTATGAACGGAGCGGTTTATATTTTTCGCAAAAATATCTTCCGCAATTTCTCGAGACGGATCGCAAGTGTTTCTTTCGTACATAAAATACTGTTCCACATTACTTACATAGCATTGGAAAGATACGATTTTCTACACGTATACATGTATATTACATAATAGTTATACATAATAAGGCATATAAAATAAATAATTTTATTTTAATATGTTTTTAAATGCAGAAAATGCTTTGCATTTTATGATATATGTTCCATCAAAAATTTAATTATTTACTATAATTCAAACAATCGTACTTTCTCAAGTTGTAAGCGTTTATAGCATATTTAAATAGGCATGTTTAAATAGATGATTTTATAATCCTTTTTTAAGATAATTGCGTTATTATAATATCTGTGTGTAACTGAAAGTATTTATTTTGATTTTGCAATCAGATTTTTTATTTTATCGCATGTTTTTGTTTTCTTGTAAAAAACTTGCATTTTCGTAGTTCAAATACTATATTAATATAAAATACAAAATTCCAATTTTCTTTTTATAATGTGGATGTAGTACTTACATCACTGAAGCTGCTGATAGACCAATATTATATGTCCAGCAATAAGCCTGCCAGTTGAGATGATGGCAAGGCTCTTTTTTCGAAAGTGCCAATTGATCGTCTAATACAAGCTCTCACGTACTTTTATGGTCTATCACAAGATTTCTGGTACAGAGATGTTTATCACAAAAAATGTTTTAAATTGTCCTGGTATTATATATTTTTGTCGGAAGATTTTCTATAACATAAAATAATGTTAAAGAAAATAACAGTCATATTTGTTCCATTAAAAATTTGCCTATAAAATAAAATATGATTATGTTGAACGTAAGTGAAATGAGAAATATCAGATGTGTTAAGCTATTACTTTCAAGTTGTTTAAAATCTCATTTCAAAAATATATATATAATTTGTGACTGACAAATAAATAACAGCAAAAAAGAATTATATATTTCTGATATATTATATAGCATATAGGATATATGAACTTATTACACATATTAAAAATTAAATAGATGTAAATATATCATTATATAATAATTCAAGGAAATATATATTTAATATATAACTTACAATCCAAGAATAATTTTACTTAGTTTTCCTGAATTTAAGATTTAATAATCGGATATTTAATCGATCTCAAAATATATCACAAGCAAAACTCGTCGGTCATCATGAAACACTTTTAAACGTCCATGTTCAAAAATATGTAAAGCACTTACAATATTAGGTTGAAGAACAGAAACCATTCTGAGGAATCTTCTAAAAAATCTCGTCCATTTCTTCGGGATTTCTCGAAATTTTTCTTCTTCAGATTCAGCCGAATACAATCCCAATGTGTGCATGATATAGCTGATGTGTTCTATCCATTTGGAATTCCGTAAATTAATCTGTTCGATAATGACATATATACGAATGAAATGAGAGAAAAACATTCTTCATAAATTCTCCCTAGATTACTTGTTCGCGAAGCGGTTGCACGATCATAACTGATGAGAGTACGATGAACTCAGTTTTCATTATGCAAGCTGTCGCGTCTTTGTCGCCGCGCGCGGTGGTTCTGTCGCAGGACAATTAAAAGTTTGGTACGAAAGATTGCGTGCGCGCAATTTTTTGCCGATAGGAGATAATTACATCAGAGTAGAATCGATTCATACGGGACAGTTTTTAGCAAGACAGTACGAACAGTCTGTCTTGAGTTAGGTCATAGGTCATAAATCGTGGATTATATTAAATTAACAAAACTATGCGAATTGTTAATTAAGTCAATGATTAATATATCTTGCAGTATCTAATCCTAAAAATTAGAAATTTTAAGTAAATGTAAAATATGCCAAAAATTTATTATTTACTCTACTTGATTTCTTACGAAACGTCTTAAAATGAAAGGGAAAAATTAAGATTAAATCAAGAAGTATTGATTATGTAATCTCAACCACTCCTTCCGAAGGTAGTGTCAATTACAGATAATTAATAGATTACAGATTACTATCGAGTACTATAATTACAGACAATTCGAATACTATATTCATATAATAGTCATTTCATCAAAATCATGTGCGTTTCGGGTTTACGGATGACAGATGGTCAGGTGGGACCAGAAGCTCGAGCATGACTGGACAGATGTATGTGATAATGGATGCATGGTCTTTCTTTCTACGGGAAGAGTATAGTGTGTGCGGCGCCACGTGCTTGCGTGCACAAAACGTCTGCGCATAATGACGGGGTTACGCGAAAGAGAATAGGCGAATTTTACATGCCAAATTATCGATTAAATATGTTGCCAAAAACTACTGTGTGATGCATGGCACATACATCATTTCGTAAAATTTAAAATTATAAGCCAGAAAGTGTAAAGTCAGGTAATTTCCGGCATATTGCTATGTAAGCAGAATGTCATACAAGTAAAATGTTATAATTCTTATATACATATTATCTAACAATTATTGCAACTCGTTACATATGCAAGTTTGTTTTAATTACAAACTGCAAACGCGACATCATAATATAATACAAAATTATACAAAATTCTAATATTTCAGATTGTACTTTGCATGATTTTATATCGCGTAATGATGTGTGCAGCTCCAGGACATAGTCTAGTAGAAAAACTGATGAAAATTTTTTTTTTTTCAGCAAATATTGCAATAATATAAAATAATAATAAATATGTTAATTTCCTATTTATTAAAATTCATTTCTCCTTTTTTCCTTGATACGTATCGGCTAACTAATTGAAATTTATTTCCAATCAGTGGTTTTATTAATTATTTTTATACTTCAAACATATTTTAAGTAGTCAATATACGCAGCATGTTCAAGTAGGTAACCGACATCTTAACCAATCTATTAATTGGATGAAGGATGTGTAAATTATGCTATTCACAAAGAGATACGATAGACATTGCATTACTTACGTCGAAAGTATTCTGCAGAGACGACTCAAAGAGATTTCCGGCAGTAAGTTTGATCGGCGTCTTATAGACACAGCAATTATCAATATGAGGGCGAGACTCTTTTTTTCCCAATAGACGACGTGTCTGTTTCATAGCACTCCATCACTGCCGATGCCGGTAAGGCACATGCAGCTTGGCCGCCTAAAAGTCTTCATATACAATAGATTGAACACCCAGTAGACAGTCGGGAAGATTTCTACGATAACGTGGATGAGAGATTGACAATGATCGTGCAACAGTATGTTCGAATCTTACGGTAAATCATTCTCAGACGTGGACCGTCTGAGCTAACCTGTTAGACGCGGTAACAACCTTTTAAAATATAATTTATAATGATTATTATATTACGTATCTCTTATAATTTATTATAAATTAAATAAATATAATATATAATTTATTATATTTTTATACTTTTTTATGATAATGTCGTACAAATGTAAGTAATATGTTTAAAATTTTTATTCATAATATATATATATATTATGAATAAAAATTTTAATATATATATATATTAAAAATTTTAATATATATATATATACTCATTATAATAATATTATTCCCGAAAGAAAGAAATAGTAGGGTATAAAATGCAATACTTATATAAAAATATAGCGGGTTATACAAACTATTTCGTATTAGCCAACATCACTATTTTTTATGATATACCAATCAGTTTTAGAATCGTTGGAATCGTTTTATGCACCTGTACGGTGTATCTAATTTCCAACTCATAGTTGGAATTCCGTGAATCCGTTCGTTCGATTATGGCATTATGGACGAATCGGAGGAAAACCCTCTCACTTGTTTGCAAAGCGATCGCATGATTGCAACTGACAGGTAAAAATACGATTAAACGTGCCAGTTTGCATGTTTCTACCTCGGTTGCTTCTATCGCAGCGCAGTTAAAAGTTCGAGGATTACGTGCAACGGGTTACGTGCGTGCATATTTTGCGAGTTCGAGGAATTACAGGACGGAATTATTACAGGATGGAATCGATTTACATGAGACAGCTTTTGACAAAAGTACATCTACCTTGCGTTATGTAGGTCATCGTAGATCGTGAATCGTATTGATCAGTAATAAACGAATTGTTAATTAAGTCAATATTGAATCTTTTGCAACAAGTAATCTTAAAGTTAATAATCTTAAGTAAATGTAAATGCCGAAAAGATTCTGTTTAACTTTCTCTTATTTTTTATGAAATGTTTTAAGATTCATAAAAGGTAAAAGGAGAGATTAACATTAAAATAAGAAGTATTGATTGTTTATCTTATCCATTCGTTTCAAAGGTGGCGTTAATTACAGATAATTAATATTTGAGTACTGAATTGTTATGACAGTCAATTTCATCAAAGTTATGTGATGAATTTTCGGAGTAGATTAAAGTACGCCATTGATGTTCTAACGATCTATGAAATAACGAAACAAACATATAATTTAATACTGGCACACACAAGTTAAAATGAGACAAGATTTCAACTTACATTACTGAACGTAGGTAGAGACATTTCTATCATTTTGCCCGCTGAGATTTTTGCCGGAATATTAGAAACCGCCATTATCAGAATTAGAGTTCGAGCCCTTTTATGCGGAAGACGATGCCAATTGGTCGTGGACGTCATTAACCCAAGCTTCAGGCTCTGTCACAATTAATTAAGTATATATTTTGTTCTTATGAAGACGTTGGTGTTCAATTTAGACAGCGCATAATGTGAATGTCAACACTAACTACCTGATCTGTCAACAGTTGACCGACGTAGCAATTAGTAAAAATGGAAAAAGCGAAAGATGTAAGTATCACAGACATAGTTAACATGGCTGTAGAATCGCTACTTTCCCATTCCTATAAAGTTATCACTGTTGCAATACACGAAGCTTGCGATACAATAATATTTAACAAATACTATCTCAGTATTAATTTTTATGCGAGAATCAGTTAGAACTGTCAAATTATTACGCATAGATAAAAGATTCCGCCTCGCGGAAATTGTTCGACGAGATTACCATAATAACGTAGTACCCCGTAAGACATAAAAGTATAGTACAGCCCACTATTTCCACTAACCATACATATCGCATGGATTCCTCTACTTGTTTTAGGAAACTGTAATTAGACGATTTATCTCTTTAATGATTGTATTATTTATATAGTTTTGCTTACAACATTATATTAAGATATATTTAATAAAATGTTAAAATAAAATAATAAATAAGTATTTGTCGTATGTGTGATAATTGTAATAATTTTATAATTTTAATCGGAATGTTTTGTTGTATTTTCTGTAATAGACATAATCTGAAAGAAATTATCGCAATAGTGACATTCTAATTCTGTTATATCAATTCCGTTTAGTAATTATCCGCACTCAACAAAATTAATAAAGCGTCTCACTTCCATAAAAACCTTCCCCATCACGTTCATCTTTGTCGACTCACCGTCTCACTTTTATTTGATGCTCTACGATATCAGCCAGCAATATCGCGACATCCTTATCGTTCGGTTCCGGCATGTCGTTGAGATGCTGGAACTTGCCTATCAAGACACTTAGTTGTCCGCAAACGTGCATGACGAAAAACGCGGCCAATCCGGCCGCGCCGACCGTTACCGAGTAGGTGAGCAATCCTGCGAAGAATTGCAGAGTGAAGACGATCTCGTATGCCGGCGAGGCCTGTTCGTCGAACTTGACGAAGTAGCTCGGACATGCCAGCGCTCTCACCGTGGTGTTCATCGGCGTGAGCATTCGTCCTTTCGAGAGCGGCACGACAGTACGGTAAGACAATCCGCCGACGTACATAAAGACGGCAGAGACAATCGCGAATTTTCGTCCTATCCTCGCCTTGGATAACATCGCTTGCCGATGCCTCAAATCAACCGTATCCCCCCAATCCTGCCGCGCCTGCTTCAGACAATATTGAATCTCTCTCGCGTGGTACACGAGCAGGCTGTACTTCATGAAACCCATCCAACAATTCAGAAGCGGCCCGAGTAATCTCACTCTACGTTTGACGTCGCGCTCCTTCAAGAACATCAGCAGGAGACCCGGCACGATGATGAACGCGAATAGAAAGTAGCAAAAGACTTTGTGTAAGCGAGTCGCGATTCTTTCCACACTGGAAGCGTAACGGGAAATTGGCCACGCGCCGATCATTCGCATGATAATGCGAGTTACTTGCACTGCGTAATTGAAATCATTTTCACTGTTCATCTTCATCGAATCTCCCATAATTAACTGCACTTTCTTTTTCTGTTTTTAAATTAATATTTAACACGCGATTTCTGCGCTCGTCTCGTTTTTTTCCCGGGCGTTGAGATTTTTTGTTAATAGCATTAATACCGTTTCCGCATTTCGGGTGACAGATGGTCAGGTGGGACCAGAAGCTCGAGCATGACTGGACAGATGTATGTGATAATGGACGGTCTCTCTTTCTACGGGAAGAGTAGTGTGCGCCGCGCTTGCGTGCACAAAACGTCTGCGCATAATGACAGGGTTACGCGAAAGAGACTCTAGCGAATTGTACGTGCTAAAGTGTCGGATGAATGCAACGTTTCAAAGAATTGCCGTGTGTGACGCACGTACATATACCGCTTCGTAAAGTGTAAAATTATAAGTCGGAAAGGGTAAAATCAGGTAATGTGCTCCTGTTGCCGTGCAAGCACAATGTCATACCGGGTAAAATATTACAGTTTATATACATGCATTATCTAATGATTACTGCAACCCACTGATAGCTGAAAGTTTGTTTTAATTACAAATTATAAGCGCGACGATATAATAGTAATATGAAAGTTTACAAAATATATACAAAATTCTATAAGTATTTTAGATTGCGCTTTGCATGATTTTATATCGTGTAATGATGTGTGCAGCTCTGAGACACATTTTAGTAGAAAACTAGGCGAGACATACTTGTACTCTTTTTTTTCAGAGAATATCAATATTTATATTAATAAATAATAATAAATATGTCAATCTCTTATTTATTAAAATTACATTTATTTCTCTTTTTTCTCGATACATATCGGATAACTAATTGACATTTATTTGCAATCAGTGGTCGTATTATTCATTTCTATACCTCGGACAAGTTTTACGTAGTTAATGTACGCAGTATGTTCAAGTAGGCAATCGACGTCTTAACCACCTGTTAATTGGATGAAGGATGTGTAAATCATGCTACTCGCAAAAAGATACGATAGACATTGCGTTACTCACGTTGCCGAAAGTACTTATAGACAACTCAAAGAGATTTGCGGCGGTAAGTTTGACCGATGTATTGGACATAGCGATCATCAACACGAGAGCGAGGCTTCTTGTTCCTGGTAGACGATGCCAATCGATCATGTACGATACCTCGCCGATCTCCTTACACTGGTTACAAGATTATTTTTTTATACGAATAAATATAACTTTCTATACCCGTTAAGAATTACTTTATTCTGAATATTATTTTCTTTGTATATTATTAAATTATTCTATTGCTCGTATCATAAAATTATGTTATACTGTGAAATGTATTGTATTTGTGAGATTTGGCATTAAATTTATCAGAGGTGCAGAGGAATTAAATTAGGACTGTATGATTTTACCTTTTCGCTAACAAGCTCGCCGATGTAACAAAGTATAAAAATATTGAAAGTAAGAGATATATATAAAGTAATGTTTGTTACATAACTTGTCATCTCTCTAGTCTCCCATTCCTGGAACGTAAAGATTTCTGTATTCGGAATTACATTTTACCTGTTATAAATCGCGAATCTGATATTGGCCTAGTTTACACCGACCGTTTGGTACGCGTGCCAAGTACTATATTCGTATCAAATCCGTGTTAAATCTCGGGTTATACCGCGGCGGTGTAAACCGAGATTTGATACGGATTTGATACGAATATAGTATTTTTACGCGTACCGAACAGTCGGTGTAAATTAGACTGTTGTTTTATTATAGCAATGCGCTTCGCGTGGTACGTACTTTTTGTACGATATGCATACCATGATAATATAATATCCAAGAAAACACATGCTTAATGTACAGCCTGCAATTTCCACGACGGATATTTCACGCAGTATCTTGTCCGTTAGCGATACAAAACTAAAAAGTAACCGACACGTTATCACGTAGAAAATGTTTTGTAGAAAAAATATGACTTTGTTAATTGTTTCTATATGATTAAAAGTAAATTGCAGCGCCCTGTACAGATACATATGGAGGGGTAAAAACCACAGTGGTGTAAGTCAAATTTTTAATAATATTTTTTCGTGTGCATAGATACAATTTATATATTGTATAGATTGCATCTATAATATGCACGCGAGAAAAAATTTAAAAAAATTTGACTTACACCACTATGACTTTTACTCCTCCATACATATATTGAATGCAAGAGTACCGACGATGCTCGTCGGAGAGCGACTTACTCTAAGATTCGAACGTGCTGTTGCACGATTATCGTTAGCCTCTCATCCACGTTATCGCACAAATCTTCCCGTCCGTCCACCAAGTGTTCTATCCATTGTATTAAGACTTCCAGACGGCCGTAAGCGTGCATCGCGAAAACAGCGGCTAAGCTACATGCGCCGGTACTGATGGAATGCACGATAAAACCCGACAGGCACTGTATCCAGAAGAAAATCTCACTGACGGGACTGTGTCTCGCGTCGATTAGCACCCTGGCGACCGGGTACATTAGTGGCCGATACGTCAAGTTACCATCGTCCTCCGTGATCTTGCCGTTATTGAACGGTAGAGCGAGATAATAGAACGTGAAACCGCCGTACATGAAGAATGCGCAGATTGTCACGAGACGCCGACCGAATTTCGCGTTTCTTATCATGATCATCCGATCGCCGTAATGCTGAGTGTTCGTCCAGTCGCTCGCGATATGCTCGATACCCCTGCGAATGTCGTTCTCGCGGAAGATCAGTGAGGAGTATTTGACGACGGCCATCAGGCAGAAATTCAACGGTCCAGTAAGTTTCAAGATATTGTACGCGTCATCCATTTCGAGCACCAGGTAGATTGCGGAGGGTACGAAGAGGAAGCCGATCAGGCTGGTGCAAATGATGTTCACCAGCGCGTACGCGTATCTCTCGATACTTGAAATCTCGGTTGATTTCGGCCAGGCACCGATCGGCTTTAAAAGCCAACGATTCAGCTGAATGCTCAGCTGCATATTCTTCTTGTGATCGTAAACGATCGCGACTGGATTTGCCTTCTCTGTGACGGTTTCATGCATTGTTGAGTCAGTGAAAGCTCGATGATTACTGACAGGATTGTGCGAGAGCTCGAGTGCGGAAAGTCAAATGCGGCTGCGCTATTCCGCGCGCACTTCCCTTCTAGGAAAGGGGCGATCAATTTAAGTGATCGGCAGGAAACGAAGGGTAAACTTTATAATCGCATTTTTTCTAACTTCCGTGAAAGGGTTCAAGGTTTCCTTGTGTGGTGCACCGCACATTTTCCGTTCATGAATTATTCTGTTCATGAACGGAAGAGATCTACGTTCTTCGTAGATATATTTTCTAAGACTTAGCACGATGTTATACGTGGATGAATACGATTTCGCATATATGTACATGTATATTATGTAATACTTAAAAGTGACTCGCATGGAAACATATATTATTACTGTATGTACGTATTTAATTGAGAGAAATGCTTTATTCTATCTTAAGATATGTCGTTCAAACTAAAGAAATTATTTTATAATGAAGCAAAATTGTTCTTATATCATCAAAATAAAAATTTTGTAATATATTTTATAAAATAATATTGAGAAATATTTTCGCTTTGTATCGAAATATGGGTTCCTTTATATTGACAGGTTGTCAAGCAGTACGAAAAACTCTAGTATGACCAGACAAATGTATAATGACGAGGGTCTCTCTTTTTGTAAAAACAGAATATGTGCCGCGTTTGCGTGTCAACAAAGAAGAAAACCATCGTGCGACGTAATTAAAGTACAATGCAATTTTCTAAAGTTTACATTTACGAGTTAGAAATGATATTGCGCGCGCCAAGTGATTTGTGCTGCATATAGTTACGTAAGCCGAATGCCATGTACGGAAAATGTTACACATATATACAAATATACACATGCATTATCTTGACAGTTAAAAAATCTGTTATAACGTCGCGAATGCACTGTTCTGCGCGACTTTCCTGCTAGGAAAAGGGCGATCAAGCGATCGGCAGGATACGTAGGCAGGAAACGAACATAATAAACTTTATGTGAGCAGTTTTCAATTTCCGTGAGGGGGATCAAGGTTTCCTTATGTGGTACTGCTGCACCTGTCTGTTCATGAATTATGAAAGGAAAGAGTTACATTCTTCGCGGAGATATTTTCCGCGACTTATCGGGACGGAACGCAAATGATTCTTTCTTGTATAAGGTATTATATAATATCATATGTGGATGAATATAATTTTGCATACAAATACATATATATAGATTACATAAAATACTTAAATAGACGAATTATAAAAATATGTAATACTTTTACACGAATTTATAAAAATAAAGATATCATGTTCTTAAATGAAAAGAAAATGCTTTGTTTTACTTCAAGATATGTTTTCCAAATTCTAGATATTATTTTATAATAGAATAGAACTGTTTCTTCTCTCTCTCTCTATTAATATATGAACAAATATTATATATGTATAATATTTGAACGAAATATATTTTTATAGAAATATATTGAAAAATATTTTATCTCGTTGCTTTGCATTTTGAAGCATCAGTAATCAGTATAGTTCATCAAGCATGAGTAAAAATATAAAAATATGAGATATATAGTAAAAATGCACATATCTAATGATACTATTTGACATATAACAATAATATGAAAACAAAATTCTAATATTTTCAATTGTATTTTGTATTACATGATTTTACCTTATGTAATAATATATGTAGCGTCAAGAGATAATTTAAAGGAAAATATTTATACTACATATTTATTTCTTTTTTTCTTCACCATATGCATCAGGCAACTATAATTAGCATTTATTTGCAATTAATCGTTGTATTAATAATTTTGACATTTCGAACAAGTTTCATGTAGTTAACGTACGCAGCATGTTCAAGTAAGCGACAGATGTTTTAACCACCTATCAGTTGGACGAATGTATAAGTCATATTGCTCGAAACAAATATGATAGACATTGATGCTGCGTTACTCACGTCGCCGAAAGTACTGAGGGACAATTCAAAGAGATTTCCGGCTGTAAGTTTGACCGATGAATTGGACATCGCGATTATCAATACGAGAGCGAGACCCTTCTTTCCCGATAGAAGATGCCAATCGATCATGTACGATACTTCGCCGACCTTCTTGCACTGTTTACAAGATTATTTTTGTTATTTCTTTTATGTAATACACAATTACAATTACTATAAGGCTGGTATTCATAATCAGATCTTATTTTAAAACTATCTTAAGTAATATATTTTAAAATATGTTAATACAGCTCTGTAATTGGTTAATGACATCTTAAGATTGTACTTAAGACGGCCTTAAATATAAGAACCGACTATGAATACCGGCCCAAGAGTTACTTTCTAAAATATAAATTTTATAAATTCTATTATTATTAGAATTATAATATTCCTGTTATTATAAAAATATACCGTGAAAATATACTTTATCATAAAGTTTGCTTTTAATTTATCACAACTCGTGAAAAAATATTCATATCTGACAGTATATGAACATATATAAACATATATGATATATATATATGAACATATATAAATGAGATATGAACAGATATAAGTTTTACATGCCCATATTTAAAGCATATATAATCATATGTGGTTATCTATTGCCATATATGATCAGATCCGTACATTATACATGGCACAAGATCTGATCATATAAGTTCATATATGGTCAGACATATTATTATGTGTAGCAGATATGACACTATACATAATCGTATCTGGCCTCACATGGTCGTATATAAAGAATGTTTGGCCATGTATTATCAGATATAATTATATGTGGCCATACATAACTGTATCGGCAGTATCGGCACTGTATATGATCATATATGACAAGACACGATGCTGTATATGCATGATTGTATATGTTCATATATGGCCGGAAATGATATGAAACATGATCAGATCTGTCTATATATGACCAGATTGGGATATAATGATATAAAATGTCCGGGAAAACTATTCATATCTGACAGTATATGAACATTATATAAATGAGATACGAACAGATATAAGTTTTACATGCCCATGTATAGAGCATATATAATCATATATGGTTATCTATCGCCATATATGATCACATCGTACATTATACATGACACAAAATCTGATCATATATGGCGATAGATAACCATATATGATTATATATGCATGCTCTATATATGGGTATGTAAAACTTATATCTGTTCATATCTCATTTATATATGTTCATATACTGTTAGATATGAATATTTTTCCCGGACTTTTAGGCGAATAAAATGTCCGCGGGAAAAATATTCATATCTGACAGTATATGAACATATATAAATAAGATATGAACACAGATATAAGTTTTACATACCCATATATAGAGCATATATAATCATATATGAACTTATATAGTCATATAAGATTATATATGATCAGATCAGATATTGCATCTCAAAGTATTCGATAGATGGGATAGATGGGCATTCAATGGGATCTGCTTCTCGTATTTAAAATTTGACAAACAGTGTTATAATAAGAACGGTATCAAAAGACACGACACTGTCTCGCACTATAGAGCGGCACAATTTTTGTATTAGTTGTATCGTGGAGTCTACTTTTATAATAAAGTCACACACTCTTAAAAAATAACTTTTGAAAATATCCCGAGAAAAAATATTCATATCTGATCATATCTGATCATATATGAATGGCCAGTTCTGAGGATATATGATCTGGTATTATTGTATATGTTAATATCTGATCAGGTATGATCAGATCATATATCCTCAGATCTGGCCAATTTCCATATCTGACCATATATGGCCAAACAGATATGATCATATATGATCAGATATGAATATTTTTTCACGGAAAGTGCAAGCAATTTGTTTATAAGTACTTTACCTTTTCGGCAACAAGTTCGCCAATGTAACAAAATATAAAAATATTGAACGTAAGAGATATAAGAAGAACGATATACGTTATATAACTTGTAGTCTCTTTACTCTCCCATTCCTGGAAAGTAAAGATTCCTGTATTCGAGGCTCCATTGTAAATCGTACACGTTGCTCTCCAACATTGCTTCGAAATAGCAATGCGCTTCGCATGGTACGTACATTTTGTACGATATGCATACCATGAGAGTATAATATCCAAGAAAACACATGTTTAACGTACATCCTACAATTTCCACGACAGATATTTCACGCAGTACTTTGTCCGTTAGCGATATAAAACTGGAAGGTAACGAATGTATTATCGGACAGAATATATTTCGCAAGAGAATGTCGTTACGTAAACAAATAAAAAGTAATTGGGGTGCTCTATAAATACATATTATATAGAGCACATCACTACAGTTTTAATGACACTGTTTAATAAGAATTTGAAAAGATATCAACGATCCTCGTCGGAGAATGACTCACCGTAAAATTCGAACGTGCTGCTGCACGATCATTGCCAATCTCTCATCCACGTTATCGCAGAAATCTTCCCGACCGTCTACTAGGTGTTCAATCCATTGCATTAAAACCTCTAGGCGGCCGTAAGCGTGCATCGCGAACACGGCGGCCAAACTGCAGGCACCGGCAGTGATGGAGTGTGCTATGAAACCCGACAAGCATTGGATCCAGAAGAGAATCTCAGCGACGGGAGTGTGTCGCGCGTCGACAATCACCCGGGCGACTGGATACACCAGTGGCCGATACGTCAGGTTACCATCGCTCTCCGTGATCTTGCCCTTACTGAAAGGCAGAGCGAGATAATAGAACACGGCACCGCCGTACATGAAGAACGCGCAGATGGCCACGAGACGTCGGCCGAACTTCGCGCTCCTGATCATGATGACCCGATCGCCGTGATGCTGGGTGTTCATCCAGTCGCTCTCGATATGCTTGATACCCGTGCGAATATCGTTCTCGCGGAAGATCAGCGAGGAGTACTTGACAACGGCCATTAGGCAAAAACTCAGCGGACCGGAAAGTTTTAGGATGTGGTACGTGTTATCCATTTCGAGTGCCATGAAGATGGCAGAAGGCACGAAGAGGAAGCCGATCAGGCTGGTGCAAATTATGTTTATCAGCCCGTACGCGTATCGCTCCATATGTGAAATCTCAGTTAATTTCGGCCAGACACCGATCGGCTGTAGTATCCAACGGTTCAGCTGAACGCTCAGCTGCATGTCCTTCTCATGCTCGTAGACCGTTGCGACAGGATTCGTTCTTTCCGTTATAGTTTCTAGCATTATTGAACTGGCAAAGGTTCGACGATCACTGAGAGGAATGCGCGAGAGTTTGAACGAGGAAAGTCAAACGCGCGCCGCGTCTGCGCTGTTACAGCGCGCCTTCCCTTCTAGCTTCTGGGAAAGGGGCGATCAAAGCGATCGGAACACAAAGGGTGAACTTTGCAGACGCAATTCTCGATTTCCGCGAGGGGGATCGTAGGTTTCCTCATGCGGTGCTGCACCTGTCTGTTCATGAATTATAAACGGAAAAGATTTACATTCTTCGCGGAGATTTTTTCCGCGATTGGGACGGATCGCAAATGTTTCTTTGTTGCGTAAGTGTTGTACGATATTACACGATAAACACGATTTTTCCTACGTATACATGTATGTAGATTACATTTAATGCTTATATATGAGTCATATAAAAATAATGATATTACAATTGGTTTTCAAATGAAGGAAATGTTTTGTCTTATTTTTTTACGATATGTTTTCCAAATTGTAAAAATTGTTGTATAATATAGTAGAATTCCCGTAATATCATTTGGACGAAGTATATTTTTATAAAGATACATTGGGAAGTAGTTTATTCTGCTTTGTATTGGAGCATCAATAGTTTATTAATATATTAAATAACTGAAGTGCGCGTATCTAATGATACTATCTGAGAAGACAAGTCTAATCTCCAAATAGTACCAGGTAATAATTGAAAAAGTGCAATATTACATACTTCGACTGTTTTATTCGGAGCGCAAGTATCAAGATTCATTGAATAAACGTACTCGTATAAAGTTTACTGTAGTTTCGTGAAGGATTTAATGTCATTTGATGAATACTACCATTTCAAATCGTACTTTCTCATGTAGTAAACTTTCGTAGAATGTTCAAGTAAGCGACAGATGATTTGATAACCTTTTTAAAATAATTATATTGTTATAATATCTTATACGATTAATTTAAAGATATTTATCTTGATCATAGAATGCAACAGATTTTTTATTTTGTTATATGTTGTTTTCTTTTTTTTTTTAATTAAACTCTTGAGTTTTAAAAAATATTAATAGGTAATGTAGAATTCTAAATTTTTTAATTATATGAGTATAATACTTACGTCACCGAAGCTGCTGATGGACAGCTCGATTATATTTCCGGCAGTCAGTCTGGTGGTTGCGTTGGACATACATATTATCAAGATTACGGCACGACTCTTCGTTTTCGGAAGCCGGTGCCAATCGATCATGTACGAGCTCTCACGTACTTTTACAGTCTGTCATAAGATTTCTGTTATAGATAATTGTCACAAAAAGTGTTTCAAATTATCTGGCGCTATTATATACAATATATCGTTGTTCGAAGTTCGAAGGATTTGGACGTTGTGTAATAATGTTTTGGAAAATAACTGGTATACCTGTTCCGTTAAAAGTTCGCCTATGTAACAAAATATGAATATGTTGAATGTTAGCGAAATGAGGAGTATCAAATATGTTAAGCCGCTTACAGGTTGCTTAAAATCCCATTCCTACAATACACAGAATTCGTATGATTGCCAAATAATTAACATCAAAAAGGGATAATGATTCTTCTTATATTATTTATAAAAATATAGGATTCATGAACTTATTATGTTAAGTCGATATGTACCATCATGCAATAATATCCAAGAAAACATATATTCAATGTACATCCCACAACTTCGATCAGAGATATTTCATGCAACAATTCCTCTGTTAGCGATATGAAGCTAAAAAAATACGTAGAAGAAACTAATAATAGCATATCTTCTTTATAAAAATTATATTTTATGTGGCAATATCTCTTTATTCAAAGAAGTTTGCTTGTTAATTATTTAAACTTAAATTATTGTCAAATATATTATCGCATAACATTAGTTAATTGTCGGTATAAATTAATTTTTGGCATCGCAACATTTAACAAATGACGATGCAATGTTTTAACAGGTTCGAAGTCATACTTACTTCAAGATGCGCACATGTAATTGTATTATATTAGCCAGTCTCTCGTCCGTGGTATCGTTGACGCCTTCACGACCGTCAACTAGATGGTTTATCCAGGACATGAGCACCTGCAGCTGTCCGCAAGCATGCGTCGCGAGGAGGGCTGCCAAGCCGCATGAGGCTACCGTGATGTTGTGGATGATAAAACCAGCAAATAGCTGGATGAAATAAAAGATTTCGTTGACGGGACTACGACGGGTGTCGACGATCACGTTGGGCACTGGAAACACCAGCCTACGATAGGTGAGATTGCCATCCTCTTCGACGGTCTTCGCGCGAGTTAACGGCACCGCCACGAAATAGAACAAGACACCGCCGTACATGAAGCAGCTGCAGACGACCGCTAATCGACGGCCGAAGTTCGCGTTCTCCAGCATCATCCTCCTTTCGTCCGTGTATTTTACGTTTCTCCAGTCATCCTCGATGTAATCGACGCATCTACGTATGTCCTCCTCCCGCAGAAGCAGGGCGCAGTACTTCAAAACGGCCATGAAGAAGAAGGTGAGAGCGCTGCCGAGTTTTAATTGGTTGTAGAAGTCCTTGATTTCCAGGACGATGAACATGCCGCTGGGAATTAGAAGAAAACCCAGTAGCACGTAGCAGATGACATTCAGCGCTCTGTACCACAGTGTTTCTATCCAGGAATGTCTCAGCGGCCATGTACCGATTATCTTCATGACCCAGACATTCAGTCGCATATTGGCTCGAAGATCATTTTTGTAATTCTGATTATACAGCCTAGGCTCGTCGCGGGTATCAGGATAATGGAGCGAGTTTTCCATTATCGCAGTACGGATGATTGATACGTACTGACAGTCGCGATGCTACGAGCTTGTCATCGACGTGATTTGCGCTTGCGCCACTTTGTAGTCTCCGTGGAAGAAAAAGGAATTTTACGCGGAAATTTTCTAAGCGAGTAGCGGAAAACTTTGTTCGATTATCTGAAAAGGGTACGTGGTGCTTCGAGAATCGTTTCCTGAAAGGGGCAGTTTATAATAGCTCATGTTGGTAGACACTAAGGGAGACGACGTAAAGTTATATTTGAACTGAATTCCGATTTAAAAAAATCGTGGAGAAAGAATAAACGTTATGTACAAGCTGACGAATGTGCGGCAGTCTTTATAATGTGGTGGCGGAAAGAGAAATATATTTATTATATGAAAAGAACTGTGCTTTGACGTAATTCGTGATACCGATTGTAAAAAATGGTGTTTAAATATTATTCTATATATATTATACATACGTATAAGTTGTATATTTAATTAATAATTTCTTTTATTAAATTGAAGTTTGAGTTATATTCTTTATAAGTAGAAAAATGTCAGAGTAATACTATATAAAAATACGATGTTAAAAAAATAATTCTTAAAGGTTACATTTTTACAAATATATAACTTCAGAGATATATATAACTTTTATCATTGAAACTCTTTTTGTTTTTATTATATTGTGAGTGAAATATACGAAGAAAATTGCTCACGGTCTCGAAGCTCTAGAATGAAAGACCGATTATTTTACCCGACGTGAGCTTCGTAAGATATGTATACCTGGTCATGGCGCAATTACTATAGGACAAGACAACGAGCTTCTTTACTGTAGGCAAGTAATACCAATCGATTGCGCAGCAGATTGTGTTTACTTTACTCCCCTGTCATGTGCAACAAGTGCATGTATATTAGCATTGTATTATCGAAATTTAATAACTTTCCTTTAAATAACATTTGTTACTTATTACTTTTATACACACAGTACTTTATTTTTACGTATCAATTATCTATGTATCATACCTGACTACTTAGAACTTCCCCAATGTAACATAATATAAAAATGTCGGAAGTAAAGTAAACGAGCATTATAGCATATGTCAGGATAGTGCGTCATTTCGTTTTCATCTCTAAAATGTATTATTATTTTATTCGAAAATCTCAGAGCAATTACGAAAAATATGCATGTAGATTGCATGAAAATAGATATCAAATAATAAATATAATGCATCGCTGTTGTGTGCATGTCGTTATCGCGGAGGCACAATATTAAAGTATTTCCAATAATTTCGATAAAACACATTTCTTCTACAATATTTTGTATCTGATGTAAAAATCTAAAATTCGAGATTAATTGTTATTGTAATTTTCGGTAATGTTAAAAACGTTTTTTTTAATTCAACATAATATTTTTATTGATAAAATCTTTAATCATGTAACACTATTTCAAGGAATAAATTTACTCAGAGTCTTTTTGAATTTAATATTCAAAAAAATAGACATTTAATTGATCTCATAAAGCATCACAAGCAAAATTATTAATATTTAAATCTAAAGTTTTCATATATCAAGTCAAATTACAAATCTAAAAAAAAATTAGAACTAACGAGAAACGCATAACAATTTCAGCTACTTACTTATGTATCCTTATCTGATGCATGACGATCGCCGACAATCTCAGAGCAACTGCAACGACGCGATCTCTCGATCATTGATTTTCATTCACCAAGTTCTCCAGCCAAGTGGCTAACATAGCTTTGACCACAAGCATGCATAGTGAACAATTCGGTGATCCCACAGACGCTGATTTTCACAATGACGATGCCAGTCACCAAATGCATCGAAAACACGATCTCGTAAGCGGGACTCAGCTGTGAATCGAAGAAGATAAAGTCATTCTCCATAGTTAAAATTCCATAAGTCCGTTCATTCGATTACGGTATGCATGTAGATGAGTCGGAGGAAAATTCTTTCACTTGTTTGCAAAGCGGTCGCATGATTGCAACTCACAGATAAAAAAATACAATGAAACCTGCCGGTTTGTATTATATACGTTCTCGCGTCTACGTGAATCTCCTCCGTCACCGCGGTTCTGTCGCAGCTGTACAGTTAGAAGTTTAGTACAAAAGTTACGTGCGCGCAATTTTTTGCCGATACGAGATAATTACAGGATGGGATCGATTCACACGAGACGACCCTTAGCAAAGTACGTCTATCTTGCGTTAGGTCATCCTGAGTTATATTGAACAGTGATACGCAAATTATTAATTGAAAGTCATAATGAATCTCTCGCGGCAACTAATCTTAAAAATTCTGACTCTTAGGTAAATGTAAATTATGTAAACAGCCGAAAAGTTGCTGTTTAACTTTCTCTGATTCTTATGAAATGTTTTCATATAAAAGAGAAAATTAAGATTAAAATAAGAAGTTCCAATCGATCGTGTCACTCCAATCCTGCCCCGCCTGCTTCACGTAAGATTGAACCTCTCCTGTGGTACATGAGCGAGTTATACTTCATGCAACCCATCCAACAATTTAAGAACGACGCAAGCAATTTGATTCTACGTTTAGTAGCGTTTAATTCGGTTAAAAGCGTTTCTGCAATTTTGAGTTTATGGCTGACAAATGGTTATGAGGGGCCATCAGTTCGGATATAACCGGGTAAATGTATAATGATAATGGGTGGTCTTCTTTTTGCAGTAAATGTAGAGTATGTGGCGCGCTTGCGTGCACAAGACGTCTGCGCATAATATTGGGGTTGTACCCAAAGGGGTTGGCCAAATTTACGTGTCTGGATAAATGCAATGTTGACGGGTACAAAGAAAAATTACTGTGCGTGAAATTATACGATTATATTTTGTAAATTTTAAATTTACGAATCAGAAAGGGTTACGTCATCTGTAATTGGTGACGCATATCGTTTGCAGTGTGTAAGCAGAATGTCGCATGTGATTAAAATGTTAACACATACATTACTCTCATCACAGTTAAAAAACCCATTACAAAGATGCGAGCATTCATTTGTTGTTTAATGCTAAGTTACACGCACACACATGCGTAACATAACAATGATGTAAATATAAAAATGTATAAAAATTATACATTTCGCTTTTAACGTAGGAGTACAATATAAAAGAATTCATAAATTTTTATGCTTGCGTTGATCTATCGTACTAATGGTGCTATGTAATACATTTAATTAAAATCCATAGATTTCAATATCCAGAATTTTTCACATATGAAATTTATTTTATTTATCCAACATCTAACTAATCGCAGCTTTAAATGTACTGGTTGTGCGCAATATTTCTGAGTAACTAGAAGATCATTGTTTCTTTTTGTTTCAGCATTTTAAACAAAGATAGAAATATGTGGAGCACACTGACGCCGCCAAAATTATTGAGAGAGGCCCATATATTTTTTGGCAGTGAATTTAATGGGAATGCTAGACGTCGCGATTATCAAAAGGAGATCGTGAGCAGTCTTGTGCGGAATTCCATACCAGTCGAGCGTACAGAAGGTAATGTACATCTTCGTGTTCTATATACAATACAACAAATAAATAATTCTCACCGTTTTGATTAAGTAACAGTTATCGATCAATACTTGATCCATGAAAAGTTTACTGATGAAACACAGTATGAAAATATTAACAATGAATGTTAAAAGAAGTATAATATACATTAGCATGGTCACCGCAGCGTTATTTTCTCACTCCTGTAAAAATGTTTTGATGTATATTGAAATATGAAATATACAACCGTTTGCTGTAATCTAAAATATATTCTTAATCACTTAATGTCTTAATTCGTATCGTGAATCACAATTGATGATCGAAGACAAGAGTTGATCGCAAGTTAAACTGATGATAAACGCTCTCCTGCGTTTGCACGCGTTAAGAATTCAAACGTTGCGTGGAGAACAGAGACTATACTACAGCGATAGAGTTTGCGAGGAAAATTGCTTGCAAAGGGGATAATTGTTTTGTAAGGAAAGTATTATTATTTATTTATCGGTCGGTGCATCGACGAATATCGTTGATGCCTTTTCAACCGTCAACTAGATGAATTATTCAGGATATGAGCATTTTGTAACTGTCCGCAAGCATGCATCGCGAAGAAGACTGCCAAGCTATACTCGGTCACCGAAATAGGTAAGATTGCCATCCTCTTAAACAATTTTCGTGCGAGTTAATGTATCGCCACGAAATAGAGCATATAACGCTGCCGTACGTGAAGACACTACAGACAACCACTAGCTAACAGCCGAAATTTGTTCTCCATCATGATCTTCCTCTCTTTCATGTATTTCACGTTCCTCCAGTCTCTCGATGTAATTGACACACTTGTGTTCTCGCGCAGAAGCTGGACGTAGTACTTTATCACGGCCATGAAGAAGAAGATAAAAGCGCTGTTGAATTTTAATTGGTTGTAGAAGTCCTGCGTTTTAAAAAATGGTGAAAAAAGAAAAAGCGTTATACGCAAACTGACGAATGTGCGGTTTAGTCTTAATTTGCAATATGTCTGACGGACGGACAAGTATATTTCTCGTGGAAAAAGAACTATGCCAAGAAATGGTTTGTAATGGTATCAATTGTAAAAAATAATATTCAAATATTATTTTATATATTATACATGCACTAGCAGATCCTTATGTCGATAATGGGAGAGGGGAATTCGGCAAAATTATTTGGTTTGATATTTTTCTTGTTGTCACGCTTAGCTTTTACTACAGGAGCAGCGAGACGAGGACGTAGTGAAACTTCTAATTCCATTTTTACTTTTCTAAAGATTTGTTGTATTCGTTTTTTTCGTAGGTTTTTTAATAGCAAAATTTTTAGCAGAACTAATTTTATTTATTTGGAAGGGGGAGGGTTTTAATCTCCAAACCAACTTCCTTTAGGATCCGCCAGTGTATGCATATAACATGTATATTTTATTAATAATTTTTTTCATCAATAATTGAAAGTTGAATAATTTTGTTATAAATGAAATAATATTGCAGTTCTTGGGTGGTAATAATCTCTGAAGAATAAAGACGAAATCAAATTAGTATGGATGCCATTTAAGATTTCCAATTACAAATACCTATTTTGCATATTGTAACAAAGTTTTTTATATACACTGTATATTCATATATACAATGTAATATTCACACAGTTATAAAGTAACTGTCCGCAATAAATTTAAATACGCCATCGCAGTTCTAATAACCTGAAAATTAAATAAAATTTATTTGCATAAAACGTTATATACATATATATGCATGTAAATTTATCCGCATTTTTAAAGGAAAACCGATTATCGGAATAATACTATATTAATAAAATACTATATTAAAATAAAATAATTCTTAAAGGTTACATGTTAATTATATATGTAATCTTATAAACTTCTATTACGGAAACTTTTCTTCGTTACTACTATATTGTGGGTGAAATGTACAGACAAAATTGCTTACGGCACCGAAGCTGCTGAATGAAAGATCGATTACTTTACCCGCCGTGAGCTTCGTAGGATATCTGGCCATGGCGATTACTAGGACAAGACAACGAGCTTCTTTACTAGGCAGGCAATACCAATCGATCGTGCAGCAAGTTGTGTTTACCTTACTCCCCTGTCATGTAAAGTGAAACAAGTTCACGTATATTAGCATCTTATTATCAAAAATTAATAACTTTCCTTTAAATGTATTATTTCATTATTTGTTGCTTATTATTTTAAAGTACTTTATTTTTATGTACTTTTTCGGTTAACTTTTTGTATTTGAATATTTAATTCTGTTATCTATGTATCTTACCTGACTACTTAGAACTTCCCCAATATAACATAATATAAAAATATTAAAGGTAAAGGATACGAGCATTATGGCATATGTCATGAAGGATAGTGCATCATTTCGTTCCCATCCCTATAAAATATTTTATTTGAAAATCTCAGAGCAACTACGAAAATTCTGCACGTAGATTGCATGAAAATAGATATAAAATGTTAAAAATATGATGCATCGCGCTGTTGTGTGCATACCGTAATCACGTAATATCCTAAGAGACACAGTACCAAAGTACTACCAATAATTTCGATAAAACACATTTCTCCTACAACGTTTTGTATCTGATGTAAAAATCTAAAATTCGAAATTATGTTATTATAATTTCCAGTATTGTATGTTAAAAACTTTTTTCAAATTAATATTTTTATTAATAAAATCTTTAATCGTGTAAGGCTTATTTGTATAAGAGCATTATATAAAGCTTATTGTATAAGCTAATTCAAGGAGTAAAGTTGCAGAGAGCCTTTCTGAATTTAATATTCAATAAATAGAAACTTAATCGATCCCAAGGAGCACCACACAAAATTGTTAGTACTTCAATGTGAAATTTTCATATTGGGAATGGCTAAACTGCGATACGCTATCTGGTGGCAAAAACAGAACTAAAAAGAGTAGGTCGCCGGCTGCCACATAAATAAATCGACTTAAAAAACTATACACATAGTGGCACTCCCCGGAAAATTTTACCCCTATTTCATATACTTTTGGTAAAAATTCGGTTCAGGAAATAAGCACATACGTCGTATTGTAGAGTGACAAGTGACCTACTCTCTCCGGCCATTTTGCCTTGTGACGTCACGACCGCCAATCCCAATATCAGAGTTAAATTACAAACCTAGAAAGAAATTGGAAAAGAACGGGAAATACGTAACAACTTCAGCTACTTACTTACGTATCCTCACGTGATGCACGACAATCGCCGCCAATCTCAGCGCAACGACGCGATCTTTCGACCATTGATCCTCGTTCGCCAAATTCTCCAACCAAACGGCCAACATCTTGAGCTGTCCGCAAGCGTGCATGGTGAACAACGCGGTGATCCCGCAGACGCTGGTTTTCACAACGTATATGACGATGCCGGTCACCAAATGCATCGAAAACACGATCTCGTAAGCGGGACTCAGCTGCGGATCGAAGAAGATAAAGTAGTTACCCTGCACCAGCGGTCTGATCGTTACATTCCCGATCACGATCTTGCCGCGGGCTATGGGCTGAATCAGACGGTAAGTGAAGCCGCTGATGAAGAGGAACAGCGTGGTGCAAATGAGAATGAATCGCCCGGCCTTGGCTTTGTCCAACATGATTCTGCGATCGTTCGTGTCCTGTACGTTTCGCCAGTCTTCTTGCATATGTCTCATGCATTCCTTGATACGATCTTCCCGTAACATCAGCGTGCAGTACATGGCAGGTACCATGCTGTAGAAGCAGAGCGCGCCCGTCATTCTGAGTCGGCTCTTGAACGTATCCACGATTAGAAACATGTACAGCGTCCACGGTATCAGATTGAAGGATAGCAGGAAGCAGCACGCGGTCCTAACGAGTCCTCTGAGAAATCTCGTCAGTTTCGGAGGTTTCTCCAGGTTCGGCCATATGCCAATCAGTCCCATAATCAATCTGTGCACCTGCACGGTGTATCTAATGTCCAACTCATAGTTGGAATTCCGTAAATCCGTTCGTTCGATCATGGCATGCATATGGACGCGAGCCGGGGGAAAACCCGAATCTCCCTCTCACTTGTTTGCGAGGCGATCGCACGATTGCAACTGACAGATAAAAGTACGACGAAACCTGCCAGTTTGCATTATGCACGCTCTCGCGTCTGCGTGAATCGTCTCCGTTGCCCCGCGGTGCCTCTGTCGCAGCACGGTGAAAAGTTTGGTACAAATTGTTGTGTGCGCGCAATTTTTTGCCGGTACGAGATAATTATAGGATGGGATCGATTCACACGAGACGGCCTTTAGCCGAAAGGACGTCTACCTTGCGTTAGGTCATCGTAGATCGTGAGTTATATTGAACAGAAGTTCGCGAATTGTTAATTAACTCAACATATTGAGAATCTTTTGCTATAACTAATTTTAAAATTAAAAATTGTAAGTAAATGTAAAATATACTGAAAAGGTGCTGTTTAACTTTTCCTGATTTTTTATGAAATATTTTTCTATTCATAAAAAATAAAAGGAAAGATTAAAATTAAAATAACAAGAATTGATTATCTTATTCATTTAGTCCAATAATATTCAGTCAGATAGTATTAATTACAGAGTTATAAACGGATACTATATCATTATGATAAAATTATTTCATCACAATTATGTGAATTTTCGGAGCAGATTAAAGTATGCCATTGATGTTTTAACGATCTATGAAATAATGAAATAGATAAATAATTTTCTACTGATAAATGAAAATGTGACAAGCTTCTATACTTACGTTACTGAATGTAGGTAGAGACATTTCTACAATTCTGCCTGCTGAGATTTTCGCCGGAATGTTGGAAATTGCCATTATCAGGATTAAAGTACGAGCTCTTTTGTACTTAAGACGATGCCAACTCGTCGTAGACGTCATTAACCCAAACTTGATGCTCTGTCATAATTAATTAAGTATATTTTATTGACAATGGTCATGAACGCGTTGCTGTTTAATTTTCACAGCAAGCATTTTGTCACTTGCTACCTGATCTGTCAACCGTTGACCGACGTAGCAATTAGTAAAAATGGAGAAAGTGAATGACGTAAGCATCACAGACATAGTTAACATAGCTGTCGAGTTACTATTCTCCCATTCCTATAAAGTTAAAACAATTGCAATACACTTGCGAAATAATTTGCGACAAATACCATCCACTGTTTTAATTTCTATGCTAGAATTAATTGAACTCAATCTACTTAAATTAAATTATTGGCTGCGGTCCACTTGACGCTACAAATACTTCGAAGTATTCCTCTTCTCTTTTCTTTCAATGAAGAAAAAAGGAGAAGAAGGACGCTCCAAAAAATTTGTAGCGTCAAGTGAACCGCAGCCATTGTGCATGAATAAAGGCCGCGCGAAAATTGTTCGTCGTTTTTACCATAATAATGTAGTATCCCGAAAGGCATAAGAGTATAGCAGAGCCCATTATTTCCACTAACCATACATATCGCATAGTTTTTTCTACTTGTTTCAGGAAACTGTAAACGAACGATATATCTATGTTGTAATTGTAATATTTGTGCAATTTTGTGTTTACAGCATTATGTCATATTAGAATGTATTTAATAAAGTGTCAAAATAATAATTGTCTAGTATTTGCCTTATATCATAATCATAATAATTATACTAATTAACAAAGTTTTTCTAACTGGGCTAAACACATTTTTTTTTAATTAATCATTTAATATTCTAATTATATGACAATATGACAATAAAAAATTAATAATTAAACTCGTTTTTTTTCTTTAATGTGTTTCTTTGAGTTGCTGACTTCAAAGTGGTTCAATACTTTATTGTTATTAATGTATACGGACTTATTCATGTTTATTATAATAAATAAAATATATAAAATTTATTTGCTTGTAGCGTAATTTTTTGTACATGAGTTTGCTTTTTTTTAATCCAAGAGCTGAAAATTAAAATGTAATAATAGGACTAACATGCTTTATACAATACGTAAAAAATCTCGATCTTCGAAATTACATAAATTATATATCGATAATATAAAAAAGTGTTACGTGTTACGAACTTTTTACTGTCTTTTTCATATTTACTACGCACGAATTAGAGACATCCTATTTCATTCATGTTATTAAAAAAATTTAACTTTGCCGACTAGTGTAATAGTTCGTTATTTCACTTTACAATTTGTAATTTTAATCTGTTGTATTTTTCCTAATAAGCATAATATGAAAGAATATATACAACAGCTACATTGTACAATAATAACATGCTAAATTCATTATATCAATTCCGTTTTGTAATTATTCGACCTTACTAAAATTAATAAAAAATGTCTTATTTACATAAATATCTTTCCCTTTATCTTTGTAGACTTACTGTTTTATTTTTATCTGATGCTCCACGATATCAGCTAGCAATATCGCGATAGCTCGATCATCGGGCTGCGGCATGTCATTGAGACGTTGCAGCTTGTTGATTAAAACGTTCAGTTGTCCGCAAACGTGCATGATGAAAAACGCAGCCAATCCGGCCGCGCCCACCCTTGCCGAATACGTGATCAATCCTGCGAAGAACTGTAGAGTGAAGACGATCTCGTATGCCGGCGAAACCTCTCCGTCGAATTTCACAAAATAGCTCGGGCAGGCCAACGCTCTCACCGTGACGTTCATCGGCGTGAGCATGCGACCCTTTGAGAGCGGCACGAGAGTGCGGTAAGACAGTCCACCGACGTACATAAAGACGGCAGAAAAGATCGCGAACTTCCGGCCCACCTTCGCTTTAGACAGCATCGCTTGCCGATCGTTCCAATCGATCGCGTCAATCCAATCCTGCCAAGCCTGCTTCACGCAAGATCGAATCTCTCTCGCGTGGTATATGAGCAGGCTGTACTTCATGCAACCCATCCAACAATTTAGGATCGGCGCGAGCAATCTGACTCTACGTTTGAACTCGTGTTCCTTCAGGAATACCCGCAGCAGACCCGGCACGATGATGAACGCGAACAGAAAGTAGCAAATGACGTTTTGCAAGCGGGTCGCGATTCTTTCCACGTTGGAAGCGTAACCGGGAATCGGCCACGTGCCGATCATTCGCAGGATAACGCGAGTCACTTGCACGGCGTAATTGAAATCGTTTTCGTGCCGGTTTGTCTTCGACGAGCCTTTCATGATTAGCTTTTTTTTATTCAGTTCAAATTTAACACGCGATTGAATTCTGTATCACGAATTTTGCGCTTGTGTACCGTTCTTTCCCCGAGCACTATGAATTTCCGTTAATTCCGTTCCCGCATTTCGGGTTCACGACTGACAGATGGTCAGGCGGGACCAGAAACTCGAGCATGACTGGGTAGGTGTATATGTTGACAGGTGGTTTTTTTTTGTGCGGTAAGAATAGAGTGTACAGCGCGCTTGCGTGCATAAAACGTCTGCGCATAATGCCGGGTTACACGCAAGGGGTTGGCGAATTTTACGTGTCAAACTGTCGGATAAACGCAACGTTGACGGACAAAGAGAAGAATCGCCGTGCGACGCGTGGCATCGTACGACTTTGTAAAATTTAAATTTACGAACCAGGGTATAGTCAGCTGTAATTTGTGCCGTATGTTATTTATGCTGCGCAAGCAGAATGTCACGTAAGTAAAATGTTAACGCATACATTACCCTCGCAGTTAAATAACCCTTTGCATCAGAGATACAAAAATTTGTTTAATGCCAAGTTACATGCGTGACACAATAATGAATATAAAAATATATGAAGATTATACGTTTTGCTTTCAACATATGTGTGTAATAAAAAATGAACATAACGGTAAAGGAATTCAGAAATTTTTATGCTTGCGTTGATCTACCATATACTAATGGTGCTATATACATTACACTGAAATCCGTAGATTTCAATATCCTGCACGATTTTCTACAGATGAAATTTATTTCTTTCAACTAACGAATTGCATCTTTTAAATGCTGGTTGTGCGCAATATATTTAGATACGCGACCGATGTTCGCATAATCTAAAAAATACACAATTGTATATTTAAATGACGGTTTATCGTTTTGAATTACTATAGAATTCTAGAATATCATTGAATTTTTTTCTGGCATTTTAAGCGAACGAGATGGAAATATGTGAAGCACACTTACGGCGCCAAAACTATTGAGAGATAGATCCATAAATTTTCCGGCTGTGATTTTTACGGGAATGCTAGACATCGCGATTATCAAAACGAGACCGCGCGCGGTCTTGTGCGGGATTCGATACCAGTCGAGAGTACAGAAGGTAATGTACATCTTCATGTTCTATATATACGATTACGTAACAAATAAATAATTCTTGATCAATCTGATCAAGTAACAATTATCGACCAATACCTGATCCGTGAGAAGCTCACCGATGAAGCACAGTATTAAGATATTAAAGATGAATGTTAAAAGAAGTATGGTATATGTTAGCATCGACACCGCATCGTTATTTTCCCATTCCTGTAGAACGAACATCAAATTTTCTATTAATTAATTTCCTTTAATACACAGAGAGAATTTTCTCTTAAAATTTATCATGAAAATCTGATAGTTGTGGGACAACATGTATTACGAAGAATTTTATGCGAGCTGTTCTGATTAATAATTACCATAATAAGAAATATTAATATCTATTACAGTAAAATATAAAATATGTTGGATTAATTTTACTAAAATGTATAGTAAAATTTCAATAATTTTTAAAAAATTACCAATCTGCTTGGTGATTTTTATTATGTTGTTTGTAAAATGTCTTTTGTATATGTCAAAAATCCCTTGGTTCCTAAGTTGTTTCAAGTTTGTAGTCAATTTAACGGTAAAATATAACGAAAAATTCTCTCCGTGTACATATTCTTGATTTATATTATAAGCTTATCAATTATATATATCGCATACCATTATTATATAATATCCAAGAAGACACAAGATGAACGTGCACCCGACTACTTCCACCAAACATACGTATTGCAAAATTTCTTCTACCTTGCTTAAAAAGCTGAATGGCATTAATAATAACATCTCATTCTTAATAATTTTTTCTTTATATATGTAAAACGGCAATTGTGTAATTTTCTCCCCCGCACACACAATGCGATCGGCATAATAATGTTACCTTTTAATTCTGATATGCTGCCTCACGACGGCCGCCAGTTCCACGTTGGCTTTCTTATCAGAGAAGTATTCGGCCTGCGTGAGATTCTCCATTCTGGCAATAAGAATTTTTAACTGGCCACAGGCGTGTAACACCAGAAGAGCTGCCAGACTGCAGGCTCCGCTGGTCACCGAGTACTGCACGAATCCGGAGAGAAACTGAATCGAGAAGATAATCTCGTAAGCCGGAGTCTTCTGCGGGTCGATGAATACGTAGTAACCAGCGAATCCCATCGGCCTAATCGTCACGTTCTGCGGCGTGACGATGACTCCGCGCGATAACGGCACGATCGTGCGATACGAGAATCCGCTGCCGTACACGAAGGCCACGCAGAAGATCGCGAGGTTGCGTCCGATCCTCGAGTTGCCCATCATGATCCTGCGGTCCTGCGCCAGACTCGTCTTAGTCCAGTCCTCCTCGATGTGCTCGATGCAATCCTTGATTCGATCGCTTCGGCAGATCAACATCGCGTGCTTTAGCACCGCCATCAAGCAGTTGCACATAGGACCGATCATCTTGAGGCGACGACGCGCGTTCGACTCCTTGAGGAACATCTTTAATATGCCCGGCACGAAGATGAAGTAGAGCAGGCCCTGGCACAGGATCCTGAGCAACTTTGTCTGGACGATTTTGACAGTGGACGTGACATCGGGCGACGGCCAGATGCCGATCAGGTTTAAGACACCGCGCGTAACGTGCACGGTGCGCCTGATGTCATCGCGGATATTCATGTGCATGACTCGAGGACCTACTTGATCTTGATGTCGCCGACGATGGACTAATCGGACGTACCGTCATGAAGCGGAAAATGTGAATGACACTGCGCTTGCGTCTTCGACGAGAACGGAAGAGGTGAGGGAGATTGACGGCAGATGCGGCGATTGTTACCCGCAATCTTTTTTTCCCCTCTTGTAAATCACGGAAAGGTTGCGGAAAGTTGTTGGGGATGTTCGAGGAAGGGATCACCGCGACGGGAAGTCTAGCGACTTTAGAAAGTAGCGAGAAAATAGCGAGGAAAAAAATAGCGAGCGGAGGAAAACCGCACATGTTGTATTGATCCTTTGATAGTACGCTGATCCCTTCGTGTTCAATGAAATATTTTACTGTGGAAAGATGAAGCAAGAGATACGGCGAATCAAGTAAGGAATATAAATAATTATGGGAGTCGCAATATAAAAATTTATACCAATTTCTTTTCTTATTGTCAGTATTCTAATAGCAAGTTGTAGTTATCAAATAGAAATCGAAAGAAGTATCTAACATATTGTCTATCTCGCCGTCTTCTAAACATATTAATTGTGTCTCTTCTTATTCAGAGATGAACTAATGATGAACAAATAAAGATTTTGTGGTAGCTCGTACATATGAAACTTTTACGCAAGCAGTTTAGGTGTTTTCGGCGCAAACAGGAAGTCAGAAACAAAAATCGGACAACATAATGATATGATGCATCGTTTATAAAAAAAAAATATATTTGAATCGAGGAGATTTATATTTTGTTAAGTATCTCACTTTTTTCCAGGGTAAGTTTTAAGAGAAAATTTGCGTTATATATAACATCTTTTAGTTCAACATTTTTATTCTCTTATTAATATTTCTGCTGAATAACGCTCAACGTTTACTAGAAAATAGAAGTAAGATATTTCTGTGCAAGACGCCGAATTATAATTGCAACATTTTCCGAATAAAATTAAAATACGTCAAAGCCGTCTTAACGACCTAGAATAGAATACACATTTTAGTTAATCATTTTTTACCAGTAAATCTACTACGTTACTTACATCACCGAAAGTTTTGATGGAAAGATCGAAGAATTTTCCGGCTCTAAGTTTCATCGGGACAATCGATAGGGCTATGACTAATATTAATGATCGTGCTTTCATATTTGGAAGATGGTACCAGGCCAATGTACACACTGTTAATGCTAATTTCTCTCCCTAGTTTTATTAATAAGTTATTTAGAAGTATGAAATTAAAAGAGAAGAAAAATGTCTGACATATTATGTGCTCTACTACTTATTAAACACGTTATAAGCATTTTATCGACAATACATTTATAATACAATACCTCTATAGAAAGTTGTTCACCAATAAAACAAAAGATATAAATGTTGAAGCCAAATGACGTAAGTAGAGTAAAAGAGGAGAACATAGATATAACATTTTGATTTTTCCATTCCTATAGGATTGACAGTTATATTTATCAAGCACGCGTGTATGCGAAATAGCGAATATGCTTCAAACGTGATAAAATAATATACTACGTTTACGCGAGCGTTATTTCTGTAGAAACATATGATAATTCCTTCGCGTGAGCAAGTAAATTATCGTAAGTTATTATAAAAGTAACGCTCGTGCAAACGTAGTAATAGACATTTCGACGTAAAATTGTGCCAGCTATTATCACTAAAATAATTATTTAGACGCACCAAGATAGTATCATATCCTAAGAAACATATAATCATCGTACATCCCAATACTTCCAACAAGCTTGTATACTGCAAAGTGCTCTGCACCAATCGTAAGAAACTATAAAGGAACGCGCAGAAATTTTCGTCAGAAAATCTTTATTTGCCATATTAAAGACGAACTTATTGTTACTAATAAAACAAAGAAAACACATCGCGTTAACGTGACGTAACTTTATATACAAAATTCAATCGATTTCAGATTCTTGATTCTTATCTTGATACAAATAATAAGAATAAACAGATACAGATATAAAAGTGTGACTAATACGAGCAAAAACTTACTTTCGTATTTTGATCTGGTATTCTACGGTCAAGCTCAGCTTCTTGTCCAAATCTCCTTTCTCCGTTTCATTTACCATGTTGTCTGTTAATGCCATCAGTATTTCCAGCTGCCCGCATGTATGCATAACAAACAGAGCGGCGAGACTGCAGATCGCCACTGTGATGGTGTACTTAATCATTCCGGAGAGAAACTGTATAAAGAACACGATTTCGTAAGCGGGACTGATTTGCCCGTTGAATAGAACAAAATAACTCGGGGTCGGCAAGTGCCTGATCGTGACGTTCTGAGCGTTGACGGACTTTCCTTTGCTTAACGGCACGAATGTACGAAAATACAAACCGGAGGTGTACATGAATATGCCGCACATAATGAGCAAACGTCTCGCAATCCTGGCTTTACCAATCATGGAATTACGATCGCTCGCGCTTTCGACATTACGCCAATCGTCCTTCACTCGCGTCAGACAATGTCTCACTTGATTCTTGCTAAGCAAGAGGCTGCTATACTTGATGAGTGCAAGTATCGCAAATATCACGGATGATATAAGCTTTAATCTCATGCGAGTTCTTTTTTCTATGAACAGTATGTACAGGATTGTCGGGATTAGCTCGCAACCAACAAGAAAGTAGCAGCTCAATATCAGCGAGAACCTCTTGAGATTTTCTTGAAAGGAGGGCTCTGTTTCCGGCCAGATGCCCAATAGACGGAAAATACCGCGACTTAGTTGTATGGTGTATCTTATGTCGTTTTCGTAATTCGTATTTCGATACATTTCTACACTGTGATTGTCGTGTACTTTTACGAGCACCACTTTGTGACGTTATGGCTTTGTCATACGAAACGTCATACAACGCGCAAGACTGCGACCTGATGCGTGCTTTTTCATCACTGATTGCAGAGCGTTACCTCTCGGTCAGAGGATAACTCGGTACGCAAATGCGCTTGCGTTACGAACAATTGATTAGTCATGTCAAACGAATAAGTAATAACGTGCGTTCGGAATTATTGAGTAAGCACGAAATGGATAAAGTTTGAAAGTGAATTTATCAAGAGTCGGGAGGGATTTGCTTCCGAAGAAGTGTATTTTTATCCGTCAACCTTCTCAATCATAGAAAACTTATAGTATCTAACTTTATTTCTTCCTGCTTTGTGTCAATTTAATATTGTCTCAGTCACAATATGTATTGTATTTGCCATGAAAAATAACTTCTACGTTTCGCAAGATAATAGAATGATAAAGTGATGAGATATGTATGACATATGCCTACATCGCATTAATCTATATTTGATACATATGTTTCTAAAAATACAATTTTTTGGTACTCATATCGATTTTGCGAAAATTTTGATATAATTAAACTTTAAATATTTATAAAGAAAATACTGAATTATATTTTGGTGCATATTGAAATATACTGCAGCTGTTTTCATAAAATCTGAAAAATATTCTTAATTATTTTATGTTGTAATTCGCGTCATGAATCACGACTGACAATGGAAGACAAAAGTTGATTGCGAGTTAAACTCAGAACGGAAGCTCTACTGCGTTTGCACGCGTTAAGAATTCAAACGTTGCGTGGAGAACAGAGACTACAGCGATAGAGTTTGTGAGGAAAGTTACTTGTCAAAAGGGATGATTGTTTTCGGAGAAAAGTATTATTATCCATTTGTCGGACTTGGTAGCAACTAGAAAAACAATCATATTTACCTTTATGTCTTCCTACATTGTAACATGCGATGGCAGGACAGTGCCAGTCAGGAAGAAACCGTTTTATTTGTATGTCGATTATTCCGGGTTGTATATATCAAACAATCAAACAGTATAAATTAATAATTTTCAATTTTGCGGTAAAAGTAACAAATGTTCCATTTATTCTTAATAAAAATATATGTTAATATACGAGGCAAAAAATAGCATGAGTACATTTCAATATGCAATTTTACCGTTACACACACATATATATATAGGATTAAAATTTTGATAATTAAACTTTATAAATATT